AATGGATAAATAAAATGTGGTGTAATCATACAGTGGAGTGTTATTTGGCAACAAAAAAGAAGGAAGTACTGATACATGCTATAATATGGACGAACCTGAAAACATTATGCTAAGTGAAAAAGCCAAACACAAAGAACATATTGCATGATTCCATTCATATGAAATGTCCAGCATAGGCCAATCTATGGAGGCAGAGATTCAATCAGCGGTTGCCTAGGACTGAGGAAAATGGGGGGATTAGAGGACATTCCAAGCAAGTGCTGCAGGTAATGTTCCATGCTTGTAACAATATTTGTTACTGTTACCATTCCCACAACACTGCTTCCTATTTGTTAGAAGTGGCTTTCCCCTCTCCAACAAATCACTTCCTTCTTCCTCATAACGTTGTTTGAGAAACTTGACCCATCTGAGAGCTTCCCTAGTCAACCCCACCCATCCCTCAGCTCTTTTCTTCCCAATGTGCCAGCCATCTCCCACAGTGGTCGTTGCCTTGTTCTGGGTTGATTCCTTGGCTCTGTTGTCTACTTTTTATGTCTACGCCATCTTTTCCACAGTAGGGCAAGCTCCTAAAGGCAGGCACCAGGCCTCCCTTTCTTCCGGTGTCTCCAGGGGCTCGGAGTCCTGAGTTGCCATTGAGGGATGTGGGCTCACTGACAGAAGGACTTGGTGGCCCCCAGGATCCAATCCCACTGTGCCCAACCTTCCTCTGTGTGAGCACACCAGTGGCCCATTGGGCTCCTTTTGATATGCCCAGACTCTTTGGCCATTTCCTCTTCCCACTGCAGTGTGAGCTACTCGAGGCCAGTGACCATTCTCACCTGAAATATGTAACCTAGAATACCATTCTAGCCTTCAAGTTAATTCAGATGGTTTGGCAGTTTGGGTACATGTGGATGGTAGTTTTGGGGGTGCTGGTGGTTGTGAAGGTTTTGATAGAGGCTTTAGCAGAGATGAAGGTAGTTGGGCAGTGGTTGTGATGGTGACTCTGCTTTTGGAGTTGGGGGTAGCATAGAAAGAGGGGTCTGTCGTCTGCCTTGTGTCCTCACTGATCACATTCCTTTTGGCTTCAGCTGTTGTCTCAGTTTCTTGGCCAGGAATGTTGTCCAGAGCCTCCTCAAAAGCAGCTGTGGCATCTGAGGCCTTTTCTTTAAGTTGCAGAAATATATTGCCCTAGTGGGAGACTTGCCTGCTCAACGCTCCCCAGTGTGTTGAGCTTTGAACTTGCCCTCCTCCCGCTCCTGCCCAAGGTCACACTGTCTGGCTGCTGAGGGTGGGATGCGGCTCCTAAGCCAGACACATCCAGCACACAGGGCCAGACGGCCACTGGATTCCAGGGATGGCAGACCCAGGGACACAGATCTGGAATGGAGGCCCCAGCAGGGTACTAACCCCTTCTTCATTGCTTGGCCAAGGCCCTTGGTGTCAGGTTGTGAGGTGTGGGCTCCCGAATGAGATGGTGGAGGTGGGCCACAAGGTTCCCACTTAAAGGGAAGCCCCCATGCAGAGTATGTCTGACCCTGTGGCAGGCAGCCCACCCTTCAAGGGGCACCTTCATAGGCAGTCTCCGTGAGTCTAGCCATCATCATCACCCAAGCCATGGGGCTCCCTGTGTTCTCTTTCAAATTCTAGGGCAAGTATGGACAAAACTCAGACCCCTCTCTCCTGGTCCTCTAGGGACAACTCAAATCAGTAAGATGTCTTGGCTAAGTACCTTCCTTGCATGAGGTATTTGCACATCAAATTTCTAAACCAGGCCTCTCTCCCATACTGTGAAGAAAATTGCTTCCACCTTACAGATGAAGAAGGAGAGGCTCAGAAGGGTGAGCTGATTTGTTTAATAATCCAGGTCTTCTGTCTCCACATTCAGTTTTCTCATTCCACAGCTGCCTCCCAGCTGGGACAGGCCAGCACATACTGAAAAAGAAGTTTGCTAAAGGCTAAGAGAAAACAGGTGTGAGACACTCACAGTTAGTCATGCTTCCAGAGGTTCTGATGAAGCTGAAGAAGCCTCCTGTGCAGGGCCTTGCCTGGCCCCGGGAGTACCTTTGCATCCAGCCTGATGCTGCACCCAGAAACCCCTTCTTCAGAGCTGAAATGCCCTTTCCTCTCCGCCTCCCTTCTCTGCCCACAGGGCCCCCTCAAGACCCCCTTCTGTGGCCCTGGGAGAAACAGTGGATAAGGACTGCATATCACAGCCTCGGCCCAGGGGGCTGTGCCCCAGGCAGGAGCCATTTCCCGTAACACACTGCCCCCCACTGTAGATCTCTCATCTCCCCCCAGTAGACAGGGCTCAGGTGGTTTTTCCCACCTCCAGATCTACCCAAATCCAGTGCCAAATCCAAGCTCAGTGCCTGAAGGATGTTCCATCCCACCCCCTACGTCTCCATCCACCATGAACGGGAGAGGAGACAAATACCAGGAGATACAGAAGCCACTAGAGACGGAAGAAATGAGAGGTGAGGCAGGAGAGGTCCCAAAACTTATCTCCACACACCTGAACAAAGAGGGGCTTTTCTGCGTTTAACTTGCACCATGTGCCCACTGCCTCCTGAGAGTGACTAGAAACAAATACAGGTGGCCTGACGGCCTCAGACGCTTGGGTCCAGTCCCAAGGGACTGCAGCTCTTACTAGGGAGGGTTGGGAGAGCCAGGAATCCCTAACCAAGAGAGGGCTTATAGACTCAGACACCATATCCAGGCAACCGGGGCAAGGGCCAGTGGTAGAGGACGCGGCACCGTTGGCACATTTTATTACGAGCCGTGCTTTCTTTCACTCTTGTGAGTATCCCAGTTTGACTGCTCCCCGTACAGTGCTCTACTCTACAGTTGCTGACTCTGGTCTCCAGGCTTTGCCGAAGGGGAAATGATGATGTGACATCTGACGGTTTGCAATGAACTTGGCATCTAGAATTCTGCTGAGTGTTCAGTGGGGTTTCCACAGGGAGCTGCTTTCTTTCAACCTCCGCTTTGAAGGGGGGAGGGGCAGCACTATTCAAGACTCAGCTGAGTAGCATGATACTTGTTAAGCACCTACTGTATGTAAAACATAATATTTAAGCCAGGAATGAGTAGGTATACAAAAATAAGATGATTTAATGCCTTTAAGAAGTTTGTATTCATGGGCAGAAATACAAGAAAGTAATCAGTTACAATATGCAAAGAAAAAGGAAATAAAAATAGAAAAAAATAAAAAATAATAAAAAAAATAGTAAGCAAAGGGTTGTAGGAACCTAAAGGAGTCTGAAGAGAAAGGCCTGTAGAGGAGATAATAGTTGACCTGAGTTTAAGAAAACATGGCTTATTTATTTCTTTACTTTAAGTACGCTCTGTGCTCAATGTGGGGCTTGAACTCACGACCCTGAGGTCGAGTCTCACACTCCACTGACTGAGCTAGCCAGGTGCCCCAAAACACGGCTTTTTTAAACAAGAGAGGATTGGGGCACCTGGGTGGTACAGTCGGTTAGGAGTCTGACTCTTATTTTCAGCCTAGGTCATGATCTCAAGGTTCTGAGAGTAAGCCCTGCATCAAGCTCTGCTTCATGCCTGCTTAAGATTCTGCCCCTCCCCTGCCCTCAACCAACCAACCAAGAGAGGATCAAGGGATTACAGGCTAATAGCAAAGACTTAAAGGTGTGAAAATAGTGGCCTGTTTTTAGGAATACTGAGTAGAAATGGAGGGTTGGAGCCAGATAATGAATGGCAAGCTAAAGAACATGGGCCACTATATAGGCAACTGTCCCCTGAGGAGTTTTGGTGGAAAGCATTTGACCAGCTTGCATTTTGGGTCAGCATTTCGACAGGAGTATATACAATGGTCTGGAGAAAGACACTGAGGTGGAGAGACTGGTTATGAGCTGTAGCTACAATATGGAAAAAAAGGAGGTGGGCCTTAATTAGGGCAGAGGGAGAGAGAGAAAGCGGTGGTGGTGGTGATGTTTAGGACCTGGCGTGATGGAATTTATCTGGAAGGGACAGGAGAGCTGAAATAATTCAAGGCTTCTAGCCTGGAAGACTAAGGAGGCCACGGGACTGCTCACTAAGGCAAGGAGCACTGTTAGACTTTCGAGAAGCTGTCTGAGGAACCTGGAAGATGCCAGTGGGGGCGCTCGGCACTAAGGAGATAGGCCAAGCCCGCTGCTGGTTTGTCATTGTGCCTGTAGTGAAAGATTCACCGGGGGGAGAGCAAACGCCGGGGGCAGAAGGCAGGAAATGCCTCTGTTGAAGGGGCAAAGCAGGGTGAGAAAGGTGAAGGAGACCGAGAGATAAGACCCTGTTACCTTCCTGGAAGGTAAACCCAGGGAATCAAAAAAAGGGGCTGTTTACCTTAGTGTCCAACAGAACAACCTGCGATGATGAGAATGTTCCATTCCTGCACCATCCATGACGGTAGCCACGGGTCACATGCACCTACCGAGCCCTTGGCATGTGACGAGGAGGAACTCAATTTTAACTGTAGAGCCAGCCCCCTGAATTTTTAACACAGTAGTTTACAAAAATAGCTAGGTTTAAGATACGATTTCTGCCAATGGTCAGCAGAACCAATACGAATAGCTTAAAAGCTTTCTTGGCTGCATTCAACACAATGTATTGAGAAACTTTGGAATGAGTGCCTTTGGAATGGTCCTTAATTCTCAATGAGTTCATCTGAATGAACGGGCTGAAAGGGCAACTGCACTGTTTGAACTGCTGGGAGTCCTCAACAGGCTGCTCATTTGAACTCTATTTCACCACAACTGCCCGCCTCCCCACAACCATTCACCCTCCCCACTCCACCTCTTGTGAGCAGCGTGGCAGCTTTGCCTGGGGACCGTGCCCAGGAACACAGGCTGAAGGGACCAGAGCCCACGCCCAGGATTCCAGGCACGCTGGGCCCCACACCCCTTGCAACCAACCGGCTCTGTCACTGGTCCTTCCAGCACGTAACCCCAGCACTGGATATTCAGAGCCAAGGTTCTTATACCCCAAAGCCATTCCCAGAGAACAATTTTATACGCCAAGAGTTTTACAAAATCCAAAATAATTTTATTCACTTTTTCAGATCTTTGCTTCCACGAGGTGTTCAGCAAACATGCTAAGGCGACAGAATGTCTAGTTGGTCACGACATGCAACGCTGACCGTTCGGTGGATGACAGCGGCGACCACGCCCACCTGAGCTACTGGCCCCACAGCACAGAGGGGGTTTGCGGGAACACACGGACCCACACAGCAATCAGCAACCTGAGGTAGGTCTCTTTACAGTACAAGAAACTTCTACGCCAGTGTGAGACACTGATCAGCGAGAGCTGCTTAAAGTCGCAGACTTTGGAGAGAGACAGACTCTGTGACAACTGCAGCAGGAGAGAACAGACCCACAAACTCCGGACCCCTGTCACTGAACTGTGGAGGCGTGGGGCCCGGCAAATGACACAGTGCCACTGACGAGAGCAGCCGCCGCTCTGGGGCTCGGGGCCGGCAGGTGTGGGGCTGGAGAGCTCTGTGCAGCGGCCGCGTCGGGGAACCCGGGGCCGAAGCAGTCTGTGAACGGACGGGATTCTGGCTAAGAAACGACAGCAAAGAGAGGGAGGCAGGAGAGGGACTCCCCCTGTCCGAGGAACGTTCTTCTGCGACTCTCCTTCCTGACGGAGGGAGTGAAAAGGGGGCCGGGGCCGTACCCCGCTGCTCTCCTGGCAGAAACAGTGAATGACAAGGGGACAGAAAGCAGGAGCCCTGAGAATTCACGGTGCTCTGCACGGCCTCCGGCAGCCCCCTCCGCTCCCCGTCGCCCGGGGGTGGCTGTGAGGAGGCGCAGAGGGGGCCCCCCGGACGGCCCGCTATTGCCACACGTCTTCCTTTTGGACGCCCAGAGGACCCGGCACCGTGAAACCACCAGAACGCTACCCTTCCTACAATCTAATAGCAAAATCAGATCTCTAGTACAGCAAACTGTACAAAAATGATAGAAAGGAATTCGCACTGTTATCGGGACAGTGCTTATTTTAATATAAAATAAACAGCTTACATTTTCACTGTAAATATAGGCTATGTACAGAATTATATATAGATATAGCTACACGTATAAAGCTTCATTATAGGCCTCTGATACATTTATAATAACGGTTCCCTGAACCTTTTAGAGTGCAATTAAGAACAAAAACTAAATTTTGTTTACATGAATATGGAATAAGTACAATAATCAAAATAGGACTCTCCCTAAAATTGAAACACCCAAGCCAATCCTGAACTGCTGTGCGAAAGATCAAACTGGGAAAGGCAAGGTTTCGGCAGGAGGACGCGACGAGGGGCCCGCCCTAGGCAGGGGATGGCAATGCTCCAAGGAAAAGAGCCAGCAGCGGGGAGGAGTTAGCCCTTGACAGCGACCTTGTTCTCCACTGCGGCAAACATGGCATAGAACCGGGAGCTGTCATTGGACAGAAGGACTGATGGGGTGTCGAACTCCACCACCTGCAAAGGAAGGAGACACGTCACTCGGGCTCACTCGGAGGACCACTGCCAAGGAGGGGGCAAACCCCAAAGCCCCCTGGGGGTGGAATCGCAGTGACAATTCCATGAGTCCTGCCATGCCCCAGTGGGTTCCACTTTGGGTTTTTTGTTTTTGCTAATTCGGGCATAAGGGAAAGGTTAGGGACAAAGACATCCAGACCTCCTTCACATAAATCTCAGGGGGGGAAAAGTTGCAGCTCAAGTCAAGGGCATAGTAGGCAAATGTCATCTTGTTGGACAAACTGGAAAGAGAACAGCTCAAAGTACCCAGCTGGCAGAATAAAAAAGTAAGGGATTCATTCAATTATCCCCTCCTATGATGGACTTCTGTGCAGCCACTGAAAATCCTATTGTAGTAAAAAACGGAATGAAATGCTGGCAGAACCTGCCTTCCAGGAGAGAGGCAGCAAATTGTCGCCTACTCACTTTCCTAGCCTTTCTTGCCACAGGACCAAGGCATGGGGCACAGCCCTGACCGAGGAGAAGCCTCTGAGGTGCTTCTAGGACAGGCTGTTCTGCCCGGAAGACGTAGGCAGAGGACGAAGTACGCTTCCCCAGGCCTGCCCGTGTGAGGCTGAGACGGTGGGTGCTAGCACAAGACATCCTTCCCCAGGAGGGGGAAGGGAGGGGGGTGCTGGCTGGACGCTGACACAGATCCTGACATCGCTGAGCTGCCGAAGAACCAACCCTCTGGCCTCCTGCTGGGGGCTAAGAGAATCCTACTGGCCAAGCCTCTTTCCTTCTGATAGTGCGTGTCCACAGCACAGCACGTCCTATCCGCTAGAGTCTGTGTGTACGGATGCATGAAAAATGCTGGCAGGGGGCAAATGAATGTATTCATGATGCTTATCCCTGGGGAGGTAAATGACTCATCTTATTTTTGCCTTTACGCTTTTCTCATGTTTTTCAGGATTTCCGAAAATTGCAAGGAAATTTTAATTCGCAAGAAACAAAAATGAAGGGAAGGGAAGGACAGAGTTCCTCAAAAAGAGCCAGTGGATCCCCATTCCAAAACACTAAGCCACTCATAGAAACAAAGTGGTCTAGATGTGTCCTTAAGGAAGAATTTCCCAGAAGGTGTTCTTGGTCCCCCCGCTTTATTTTATTACATTCTACTTAATACCTGTGTACAGAGTAATAGCTCTGTATATCGAAACGTGTAATAGAATCTCACTAAACATTTAGGATAATGCAAACCAAAAACCACTAATGTTAACATAATCTCAAGGTGAGGAGAAAAATCATTAACTCCTATATTCTCTCGAAGTCAGCTCTGTAGAGCGCAGCCTACATCTGTTGCAGTTAATGTTTTCCTCAAGACTTCTCCACAGAGAGAGAGGGACGGGGCAGCCCGGCTGCGTAAAGTGCCGGCTTTGGCGTCGCTGGCCCAGCTCAGCTCCGACTCTCCCTTCCTGTGGACTGGAGATAGTGCAAGTTCCCTGAGCCCATCTTCTCTTCTGGAAGGCAGGCTTAACACATCCGTATCTTTCTCGGTGGTTGTGATGACTAATTACATGTTGGGGGACTGTATGTAAAGCCCTTAGCGCAGTGCCTGACGTACAGTAAGCATTCAACGGAAGAGGCTATTATGGGGGCCATTATTATTAATCACACAAGTTCCCCATTGCAACTGGCTTGTTATTTCTGCCAAACCACTAATTTCCTGCCATCCCAGGCGCACACAAAGGAGCTATCTGTCCAACATAAATTTACTTAACATCTTAAGTGACATACTTAACATCTACCATGGGCAAAGACTGTAGCATGGAGCCCTGCCAGGGACCCAAAGATGAGTAAGGCGTGACCCCTGCCCTTAGAGCGTTTACAGTCGAATAGGGGAGAGAGGGCATTAGCCAGTTACCATGACAGGAGGCAGAAGAGCCACACGAGAGGACACATAAAGTTTCAGGCGGCAGAGGCCATTAGGGCATGTAAGCTGTGTCTTTCAGAGGAACAGGAGGCTGCAGGAAGCAGACGTGGGGATGTGGCAGAGGGAACGAAAGGAAAAGGCATTGGAGGTACATGGCACTGAGTGAGGAAAGACACAGAGGAGAACCAGTTCAGGGGATGCAAGATTGTTTGTAGCCACTGGCACCTGCAAGAACAAGTGGGAAATGAAGGCGGCGGGGCTGGGCCAGATTGTGGGAGAGCTTGGAACAGCAGTATAAGAAGTCTGGCAGCACTACGTGATTGCAAAAAGCAGACTTGAGGTGGCTGGTCTCAACACACCTTGGGCAATCCCTGTGTGCATGAGTTAATTAGTAAGCACGTGAGCTCTCTGACCTAAGTCAAAGTGTCATTTTTTTTTTTTTTTTAAGATTCTATTTATTTATTTGAGAGAGAGAGAGAGAGAGAGCGCACAAGCAGGTGGAGTAGCAGGAAGAAGGAGAGGGAGAAGCAGGCTCCCCGTTGAGCAAGGAGCCCAATGCGGGGCTCGATCCCAGGACCCTGGGATCATGACCTGAGCCGAAGGCAGTTGCTTAACCAACTGAGCCACCCAGGCACCCCTCAAAGTGTCATTTTTACAGGCAACAAAAAAGCAGGTACTAAAGCAAAATGAGAACCAGTAAGAGTGCCCCTACTCAATCTCTGGCTTGGGAGGGCGGCATCCCTCCCAGCTGTGGCCAGATTAGAGTTGTAAGGCTGCTTATCTGAAAGCTAAGAATCTCACTAAGATGGCAATCAGCCCAATCCTGCCAGGGGCCAGTTTTCCGCCCAGACGAGGCCACATGCCAAGCCATGGTCCCTCAGGGGCTCAGTACCTGTCCCTGGGCCAGCACCATAATCCTATCAGAGCCTAGGACTGTATGTAGGCGATGGGCAATCGTCAACATGGTGCAGTCAGCAAATGCTTCTCGGATGGTCTCCTGGATTAGCAGGTCTGTCTCCGTGTCCATGGCAGCTGTGGCTTCATCTAGAATCAAAATCTGCCACGAGAGAGGAGAAAAAGAGATCCAACCATTTCCCTAAGCCTTTGCCTTAATCTAGGTTTCGCTAAAATGTATTTCATTATTTAAATTTTACACCATAATCTGTTTTTCCTAAGTAGGTACACACCTATGTAAAAGGACCATTTTGCTTAGAACAGATACCACTTCAAACCCATGTGTTTGCCTTCATTTCCACACACAAAAGGACATGCATGTAATATTGATGTAACAAAACACTTGCTCCTACTTGCCCTGTGACCCTGAGCATGAATAGTCATCTTTCTGGATCTTCTATTTCCAGTTACAAAATAAGGGGACTGGATTTGATGGCCTGGAGGTCTCTAAGTCTATGGTTTCCAACAGTACTACAACCACTCACTAGCCAGAAACAAAAGTCACCCTTGGAAATTAAAGGCTCAGGAAGTCTGAAGGCTCAAAAACACCTGCATACCCAGATGGTGTCAAGGTGAATTTAGAAACATCTGTGCGCATGCTCCTAAAAAGCTTTGGTGGGCTTGGAGCCAGGAATGCCTTTGGACCTCATGCTGGGAAAGGCTGTAACCCCTTCCCTGCCACTCCACAAGCCACCTTACCTTACAGTGACGGAGCAAGGCTCTTGCTATGCACAGGAGCTGCCGTTCCCCCACCGAGAAGTTATCCCCATTCTCCATCACTTCAGATTCAAGTTTCAGAGGTAGCTGAGCAATCTAGAGAGAAAGGAAGTAGAGACTAGAAGAGTCAAAAAGTAAATTTTGAAGAAAAAAAAAAACTGAACTAAATTTTATCCAAAATCCAGTGGCAAAAATAAGCTATTCTGAAACAGATGCAACAATTACTAGCCAAGAATCTGGCTCATCTAGAAAGAAGGTACAGAGGTGATGATCATGTGTACTAGGACCCTCATTTTCTAAGACATTCCATATTTCAAATATACTATTCTGTTAGCCTCATACCATTAAAAGGTCTTAGAAATTCCAGTATTTTCATATCCCCAAATCCTGTCAGACTGTGGCCCTAATTTTTGGTTCTGAAAATATGGTCACGCCATAGGAGATGGGGAAAGTGAGATCACGCTTTCTGATTTCCAAGGCTATAGATACATGGTTGTCAAACTTGCCTTTATAATAAGCTAGGAGCCTATCCTTCAAATGAAATGGTTTGAGGAAGCCCAATATCAAAGTGATAAAGGCGGAGCTGACCTAGCTGAATCAGGGCAGGGGATCCTGAGCTTAACTCGGCTCAGGGGCATGAGAGATCCTACTCCCGGGCTGACCGTGGCCTCGGGAGGGTGTGTGCTGAGTTACCCTAAGAGATCAAGGACCCCATGTGCATGCTGCATGCTTTCTGCAGACTCGATTCATATCCAGATGCTGCAAAAGCATGTTGTACCAGTATGATGAATAAAGTAGAAATTCATTTAAAAGCATTCCAGAATTCTGAGTGTTTGTCATTAACATCTTGCTTAATCAATGGACAGCAGAAGGGCAGTATGACCATGGTTGAGGGATATCAACTTTTATGCCCTTTCTGAAATGCCTGGGAAGCCTTATCTAAAGTGATCCTACACAGATATCCTGGAAGTAAATGGACAGACCAGGCTGGACAGAGGCAGCCAGAGCAGGCTGGGGAGTGACCACAGCATCATTACGTTTCCACTCTTGAAATTCAAGCAAAGCCCTCCCTCAGGGCTTTACTTACACATTCTTTCATGTGTGTCCTTTCTAGGGCATCCCAGATCTGGTCTTCAGTGTACTGGTTGAAGGGATCCAAATTTGACCTAGAGAGAGGCACAGGAGGACTTTCTCAGTGAGCCAACATGTAAGTGACTATATTGCAAAGGCTGTCTGTGGTAAACGTTTAAACAGGCATGGGAAAAGGAGGGATCAAACTCCTCAAGGTCACAGATGCCTCGCTCCCCAACCAGCCTTAGGTAGCAGTTAGAAATGCTGGTGCCTGCCCATCACAGGAATGTATCTGAGAACAGGCTGGGCCTCTCCATCTTCTTTATAACACTTTATTTATTATAATGTCTATTATTTTTATTATGTAAATAATACAGGTTATAGAAGAATTAACAAATACAGATATGTGAAACAAAACCAAACTGATGATGTTTTAATCACCTCTAATCAGACCCTCGGAAGCAAACACTGCATTTTGGCATATACATGTCACAATACATCTCTCTGTGTGTACAATCTTAGAAAAACAGCCTCTTTCTTCCTGACGCACTAGGGTGAGAGCCTGTCAGTGAGCAAGGACCCGAGGGTGGCTGGCTCAGCGGAGGAGAAAGGAGAGCGTGAAGAGCATCTCAAGAGGAAGGAATTTACTGGTACAGAAAACCAGTTTGGGGACTCTTCTTGCCTACTGTACCAATAGCAGCTGTCTCAAGAACATCAAGGAGGATACCAAAAGGACTAGACATTTCCGGAAACGTTAAAGACAGGGGAAAGAGCTTTTTGTCATGGAGGATAAAGGTGGAGAGGTGGTGGTAAAATGGATAACTGGTGGAAATTGGGAGGTTACATTAATATTGGGGTGTCTTGTCTCCATCTAAACATGACATTTACAGGTCTAGTAACATGAAAGGTATGAGGTGTAACTTTGCTCATAAACTTATACTTCATATATGGGAAACAGGAAGTCTTTGGGAGAACTTTAGCTCTATGTCTCATTTGTCTCCATGTTTGGGGTTACTAACTCCAGGCATGCAAATGCACGCAGGACATTATCCCAGAACTCCACCAAACACAGGCTGGTACCTGCCTTGCTCATCCCTTTGGGCCACCTCTGGACTCTCCAGGGAGACTCTAACTGGCTCTGCTTTCTTGTGCCTCTTGCTCTTTGCACATGGAATATGTGCACCCCTCCCCACCCTTTGGCTTGAGAGACACTGGCAAAAGCAAGGGCTCTGGGGTCAGACTTGCTGATTCCTACACAGCTTCTATCTATTACAACTGTGTGACCCTGACCAAGTTAGCCTAACTTCTCTATGCCTCAGTGCCCTCATGTGTAAGACAGGGGTCAAAAAGCACCTCCTCAAGAGGTTGTGACGGCTGCATTTCACGTGTAGAAACTATTTAGAGCAGCCCCCACTGCATGGTTAGCCCTGTGCATGCAGGGGCTACGATTATGATGATGTCCTTATTGTCACTGCTGTTACTCCTTGACTAGGATTCCTTCCTGTCCTTCAGGTCACAACTTAGATGCAGAAAGCGTCTCCTGACCCTTCAAGCCTGACTTAGGTGTCCTCATGCTCACCCTCTTTCTGGCACTTGTTCATGTGTCTCTGCCCCCATTGGATCAGGATCCTTGTCTGGATCTTCTTCACTGTTGAATCCCATGTACACTGTCTAATATTTGTTGTAAGAATAAAAGAACATATAGCCTTGCTTGACTTCCTGAGAAAAGGCATCAGTATGTGACAATTTAAGCATTTTCTGTCATGACAGAGGCAAAGAACAGTGTGTTAGAGGGAGCACGTGCACATGTAGTTCCAGGCAGACTGGGTTCAAATCCCCACTCTGCTTCTTACTGTCTGCATGACCTTGGGCAAACCACTCCTCCGTCTCCTCCTCTGTAAAATGGGGATATGGTGACATGACTCAGTAGGTTGCTGTAAACATTAGAGACAGTACATACAGTGCCAGTATACAGAGCAAACATTTACTTAGTGGCAACTGTTAAATTCCCAAGATACGTGTGGACACGTTAGCTGCCTGGTTCCAGTGCTTGGTGGTTTTCTGATTTATATTCATTGCACTTTCCAAGTGGACACAATAATCCCGGGATCCTGAATACCAGGCTCAGAAAGAGTTCTGATAAAGTCCTATCTGTGCAAAGTCTGGACAGGGAAGACCAATCTTCTATAGGCATACCATCTAATATCTCATATCTCCATAGTCCTATCTCTTAAACAAGAAGGTGGTCCAATTTGCTGATAATCTAAACTGTGAAATGGCAGACCACAGGCTAAGTCTAAGGAGACGTGTACATGTTTCTAGTCACACTGGAAGCCCCTGACCCTCCCTATCTAACACTCCAGAGTCTGCACACACATCTGGGTTGACGAGATTACCATTTATTGTTCTGTCGGTTTTTTTTTTTTTTTAAAGATTTTACTTATTTATTTGACAGAGAGAGACACAAGTGAGAGAGGGAACATAAGCAGGAGGAGTGGGAGAGGGAGAAGCAGGCTTCCCACGGAGCAGGGAGCCCGATGCGGGGCTTGATCCCAGGATCCTGGGATCATGACCTGAGCCGAAGGCAGACGCTTAATGACTGAGCCACCCAGGTGCTCCTTTTTTAAAGATTTTACTTATTTGAGTGTGAGAGAGAGTGAGAGAGAAAGTACGAGTGGGGGGGAGGTGGGAGGGTCAGATGGGGAGGGAGAAGCAGACACCCCGCTGAGTAGGGAGCCCAATGCAGGGCTCAATCCCAGGACCTTGGGATCATGACCTGAGCCGAAGGCAGACGCTTAACTGACCGAGCCAGCCAGGAGCCCCTATTGTTCTGGGGGTTTTTTGCTGTCTCTTAGGAGAATCTTCTACACTTACACACCACCAGGTTAGGGACCAACTGAAACCCATGTTCATTATCCGAAGTCTGAAGAATAAGAGATTAATCACACTCTTGCCTGGTTCAACAATGACCGACTGCTGGGAATTCCCATGGGGCAAAGTTCACAAGACAATCCTCCCCATCCAGACTTTGCACAGATAGGAGTTTATCTAGGTGGCAATGCAAGTTTTCACAATATTCTCTCCTACTTGTGTGGTCTCATATGGACCGTCTCATGTTTTATAGCAGAATTTTCGACGCTTTTGAACCGTAAACTTCAGCACTCTTCTAAAAAATCACTTTATTAGCTAACCATTATTATTATTTTACCTTTTTTTTTGTTTTTAACAAGTTCCTCAGAGCTCTTTACAAGAGCCTTTTGGAAGTCCTTATCAAACCTAGAAAGAAGGGCACTCCACACATGGGCAATCGTGACTGGTTACAAATAGGGGTCATGTTCTACTTTGCCTGGTTTCCTGCTCGTAACCCTCACCATGGTCTATCTGCAGCCAAGCCACAAGACTCCATGCTGAAGAATCACCTTTGCCCTTTAGGGGGAATCAACTCTGACCTTAGGCTCTAAGAACTGCAGTCAGAAGCAATATGTGCTTCAGTGCTGGGCTGCTCTAGATCCGCATTCTCCTCTGACTATAGTTCCCATTTAGAGCTTCTGGTCCCTCTTCTTGAGCTTGAATTGCCTCCTGGCAATCCACTTCCAGTAATTCAATTCCTGTTGTGCTTCCATGTATCCGAGTTCCCATCTTGACAGCCTGCTCAGGCTCCCAAGGTTTGGGGCCCCACCTTGCCCTGGTTCTACCCCTGAGCTCCCTGGTTATAAACATCTGTCTTCTTTGGTCTCTGAATGCTGCTCATTCTCCACTGCTGAGGTATATCTGCCTGTGGAAAATCCATGTTACCGAAGGCTGGAATTTCCAGTCCCAGTAACTTGATAAATTGCCATGTATGGTTTGACATTTCGCTTTCTGGATTTCTAGTTTAGCCCATCGCCTACTGCTTCAATCTGCCCCTTCTTTACCTCTTCCTGGCAGGATTGTTTAATTGTAGGTTCTGGATTTTACCACTCATTCACATTCCTCCTACCTCTGCTGCACTGAGTCCGTTGCACAGAGGAAGACTTCAATAAATATATGCTCCAGACTGAAGGACTCTATAATGCTGGTTTCCAGGCTAGGAACATGTGGACCATTCTCCTAGACTTAGTCTAGGAAATGTTCTTTAAAACTATACAGTGATGCCTACTGTTATGGGTTCAAGTGTGTCCTCTCCAAAAAGATATGTTGAAATCCTAGCCCCTGGTATCCAAGAACGTAATCCTATTTGGAAATAGGGTCATTGCAGGTGTAATTAGTTGAAATGAGGTCATTCGGAGTAGTGGAATACAGTGGGCCCTTAATCCAATATGACTGGTGTCCTTATAAGAGAGGGTCACGTGAAGGCAGAGAAATAAAGGGAGACCATGTGACGTTGGAGGCAGAGATTGGAATGATGCACCTATAAGCCGAGGAGCACCAAAGATCACTGGCAAACCACTAGAAGGTAGAAGAGGCAAGGGAAGGATCCTCCCCTCTAGGTCTCAGAGGGAGCCTGATCCTGCTGACACCTTGATTTCAGACTTCTAGCGCCCAGAGCTGTGGGAAAAGTTCCTGTTGTTTTAAGCCACTCATTTTGTGGCACTTCGTTGTGACCTCCCTAGGGGACAAATACACCTAGGCAGCCCCTCACAGACCCCTTATCAGACTCAGAGTATGCACGTAGGTGTGCAGTTGCCTGCTCACTGAGGAGGCTGCCCCATCAGATTCTCTGTGGGTGAAGACTCAGCAGACACATGGGCAGGCTTGACCCTAGGCCTTCCCACCAGCTGAACGAGCCTCCAAAAACTAGACAATGGCTTCCAGATATATAAGAAATATTTACATACACCAGGAGGTGGTGTACATACACATTAAGGCACACCAGACTGATCTCAACAGGGAGCTCAATCAGGAATAGAAGAAAATACACCCTCATTAGAGAAGCCAGATGGCCCTGAGTCTGATCCACGAACAGAAGTGAAAGCAAAGTTATGCACCCCTAACATCAGAAGTTTTGGCTGGGTGGATGGATAGAGAAAGGCGGCGTCGGAACAGGAAGGCACCTATTTTTAGTAGTCAGAACTCCTGGGGTCCTAATGTTGCCAGAAGTGCACTTTCATCTTTGGTCCTTCGTATTTATTTTTGGCAGTATTCTAAGTTGGCCTCCTGGCCACGGCTAAAAGAGGCGAGAATCTCTGCGAGTGCGTGAGAGCATACAGGAGTGCCTCCCTGGCCCGTAAGAAGACACTGCTCCCTCACACTGTCCCGCCATGGCCATGGGCGCCTCCCGCGCAGCCTCGGGCAGGAGACCTGGGAGCACAGACCTCCTGCGAGCTGGGAGCTAGAGGACAGTGCTAAATAGTTATTCAGAGATATGGACTGGTTTTGGCCTTTAGTTGCTAAGCATCAAATCAGGTAGAAAAAAGGCTAGAGGTGGGAAAAGGGACACGGGGAAAGCAAAGTAACTGAGAAAGACTCCAGAGAGCAGCAGAGTGTGTGTGACTTTTTTTTTTTCCAAGATGAGGGAGGCCTGTGCAAATCTGGAAGCAGATGAGGAGATTGTGAAGCTGCTGGAAAAAGAAAGGTAACTAAAAGCCAAGACCCCCGGAGGAGCAGGCTTAACTCTGGTGGCTGGAAAGGCGGAATGCCTCCCAAGGTCGCGGTGGAGAGTGGGTATCGTGAGAATCCCAGGAGGTGACGGAGTGAGTGTGGCGTGTAAGAGCTCCCACAGCCAGGTTCAAACGCCTATCTTTGGGCAAATTATCTACCTCTCTGGGTTTCTGTTTCTTCATCTATAAAATCAGCACAATAACCGTTCCTACTTCCCGGGGTTTTGAGAATCTGACGAATTAATACAATTAAAATGCTTAGGACAACATCTGCCACGTAGTAAGTTCTCAATAAGCTTAGTGACTTCCATTATCGTTGTTCTTTAGAGCAGCAGTGTCTGGCACAGAATGACCTTTTCCCATTTCTTTAAAGATAATTTTTTTTTAAAGATTTTTTATTTTTTATTTGACAGAGAGCACAAGCAGGGGGAGTGGCAGGCAGAGGGAAAGGGAGAAGCAGGCTCCCCACTGAGCAGGGAGCCCGATGCTGGGACTCGATCCCCGGACCCTGGGATCATGACCTGAGCCGAAGGCAGTCGCTTAACCATCTGAGGCACCCAGGCGCCCCTAAAGATAATTTTTTTAAGAGCCAGTTTAGGTTCACAGCAAAACTGAGAGGAAAGTAGAGATTTCCCATCTATCTTGCCCAGAATGACTTAACAAATGTTGGATAACACCTCGTGTTCTTGATGTAGTTATTCTAGACTCACATTACTTTCTGATATTGAAAATAAGAAGCTTTTGGGAAATTCCAAGTTCCACAGAAGCAAACACTATCAAAAAAAAAAAAAAAAAAGAAAAGAAAGCAAGAAAGAGAGAGAGAGAGAAAGTAAGAGAGAGAGAAGAAAGAAAGAGGAAAGGGGTCCCCCTTCAGCAACAGAATAATTCAGAGACAACAATAAGACCTTGAGATTCTAAGAAAGAAGTTGCTTCAAAGTTAGAACAGCTTCCATTCACTCTAGAGGGCTAACTGCTCCTGTCGGACTAAACCAAAGCAGAATGGGTCAGTTGTGCTCAGTCATTTTTGCCGTGATTTTGAGCTGGGGACCAGAAATATTCCTCAAAAGTAAAAAAATGTAATGGGCAGACTGAAAGGGAGTGAGGGGATGTGAATAGGAAGAAAGGAGAACACTGCCTCTTGCTGATGAATGGCCACCAAGCAGAGATGCTCCAGGGGATGAGCAGATGCCCAGTCCCCACAAGCAGACTGAGACTCACAGACAGACTATAGAGTGACAGCTGAGGACAACTAGTCTTACTGAGAGGCCAGTTAGCCACCAGCCAAGCTGAGCCGTAGACTGTCCCCAAGGATGGAATGCACTCCAGCAAGGGCTGGTTAGGGCAGAGGGGAGGGATCTCAAGAGGCACAGGGTCCTCTGTGGAAAGGAAAGGAAGGTACTAGCAAGGCCATGAAAGAGGGAAGGTCGGCAAAAATGTTTAGGGTCGGGATGAGAAGAAACCTCTTATCTTAGAGCCAGCTCTCAGGACAAAAGGCACAGGAAAGGGGCTGGTCGCAGAAACACAGGCCCTACCGCCAGATAAGGGAGGGCTGGATGCAGCTATTGGAATGGACAGAGTCTGACTAATCTAGGGAGCGATATGGCCCCAAATGATCTGGTCTGTGATTTAGGTTATATTTGTATGAGAACAATTCAGACATTTTTATCTCATCACCTTAAGTTTTACTTGAATTTGGTTTTACCTTGCTTTCACTCTGAGAGTTCCTTATGATTTTTTTTTAAAGATTTATTTATTTATTAGAGAGAGAGAGAGAACGAGTGGGAGGGGCAGAGGGAGAGAGAATTCCAAGCAGACTCTGCGTATGGAGCCTGATGTGGGGCTCGATCCCATGACCCTGAGATCACACCCTGAGCAGAAACCAAGAGTCAGACACTCAACTGACTATGCCACCCAGGTGCCCTGAGAGTTCCTTATGTTTTAACTGCATGTTGGTATCTCAAGAAGATGTGTCCACCCTCACTGCTGGCTAACGGTAGTAAAGATAGTTTCCATGTTCAGGGTCTCCAGGAGACCGCTGGGAAACAGCCGATCTATCCTGCCCTTGCCTTGGGAAACTCATTATAGGCTTTCTAATTTTCTAAGAAAAGCAAAAGAACACCCAAAGCTGAATGTTCTTTGGGATTTGTACGAGACCTGAGAGGATAAAAGGAAGACGACAGTAGGTCTGGGATTTAATTTGTCCTCAGGCTCTACTCCTGACTTAAAAAGCCAAAATTACTGTTGGCAGAACATGAAACTTGTATGATTTCCTAAATTTGTACAGCTGACCGCCCAAACAGCACTCTTAGCTCAATAACGAAAAACTCAGGGCAGCAGAACACCAATTACAAGCTTGTCCGTCAAGCAGCACCATGTCACTAGAGCTGGTAACAAATGGCCCCAACTCCCAGCATTTCCATGAGGTTCTACAAACAGCAGCTGCACAGGCCAGCAGGTCAATTCTTAACCCTTAATTCTAGTACATGTGCTGCCCAAACAAGCCCTTAACCACTCACTCTAGAAGCCCCTGATTCACAGCCACAAACGAAGTGCTGTAAAATTTACAAATGAAGAGTGAGGATTCCTGGTGGCAATGTATTTAACACAGCCAAGTTTAACACACCCTGTTTCTTAATTCTTTTCCAAATGATGACGAAAAAATGGTTCTTTTGTCCTGAGCTAAAAATTACAAGGCCAATTATATTCTCAAAGGCATTCTTGTGGCATCTAAAAATAGGGATTTATGGGAGGGAAGAGCAGATCTGGCAACACCTCTTGATTTCTTAATTTTAGACCTGAGTCTTCGATAAATTCTAATTCTCTTCTGACATTTGTTTGACCTTATTATCTCAGGACCCAAGGAGAATGATGGAGCAGCATCGACAGATCCAATCTATGCTGCCCAAATTCATTAGTGTTTAGAGAAAATGCCAAAATAAATACACTCAAGAGTGCGGGCAGGTGAGAATTCATTCTACCTACCAAACCTCCTTGCATCAGTGAGTTCAGGTGCCATTTCCAAAGAAAGGGAGGGGACCTAATTTTAAAGACAAGTCCATGGTTATTTGAAATTAAGTTGGTACCAATTTTTTTGAAGACTGCTAAAAATTAAAGAATTTCATTTCATTAAAAAAAGTCCAATCTAGGTCAGCTATATGGTTAAAGCTATTTTTAGTTCAAAGAAGAAGCAACTTGAACAGACATGGACAGGAATTACAGAAACCCATTGTTCCAAGGAGGCAAATGCTTAAGGCAAATGCTAAGGGTGACGGTAGGATAAGGTATAGGGAAAGTCAATGGGATTAAATATATTTCCTTCTTAGTTACTATTTTAACAGGTCAAGAGGAGGAATTTTAGGGGCACCTGGGTGGCTCAGTTGGTTAGGCATCTGCTCAGGTCATGATCCCCAGGGTCCTGGGATAGAGCCCCACATCGGGCTCCCTGCTCAGCGGGGAGTCAGCTTCTCCCTCTCCCTCTGCCTCTCCCCACCGGCTTGTGATCTCTCTCTCACAAATAAATAAGTTTTCAAAAAAAAAAAAGAAAAAAGGAGGAAATTTATCTTAGGCATCCCGGCAGATTTCAGAGAGAGAGAGGCACCATTCCAGAGTCAGAATCAAAGGTGGGCGAAGATACTGGAAAATGAAAACACCTGAGTGATAACAAGGTCTGAAAACCACCATGAGAACGGCAAACTGGAGCACACGTAGGACAGATGACAATACGGAGTGGGAGGAAGAAGGAAGATGGGATGAGGCTGACGGGCTGCTACTGTTCACTGCTCACTATGTGCCAGGCTCGGTGCGTGTGTAATTTGTATCAACTTAACCAATCTCCACAATGACAGCCCTTAATAATATCCCCACCTTACAGGTGAGGTAATGAGCTTAGACGTGGGCAGGTAACTTGCCTGAAGTCACAGGGCAGAGATCTGAGCCCAGATCTCTCTGACTTCTTCACCACATGCTTCAGGGCCCTCAGCCCCCGTTTTGTGGAGCTGCCCCTTACTTCTGCAGTAAGAAGTGGTGGGAAAAGCACTAGGCTTGAGGTCACTTGATCCCAGTCCCACATGGAGGCTCTAACGTGCCCATCTGGCCTCAAAAGGCAGCACAGAGCACACAGGCACTCAGATCCTCACCTCACGGTGCCACTGAATAGCACTGGCTCTTGAGGAATAATGGACAGCTTGCTTCGGAGGTCAGCAAGGCCAATATCACTGATTCTCACTCCGTCGATCTTTATGCAGCCTCCAGATAACTCCACCAGACGGAAGAGGGCCATCCCCAGAGAGGACTTCCCTGAGGAGTCAAAAGACATGCAGAAAAGCAGCTCAATTAGCAAATTTCATGAAGACAAAAACTGGTTTAATCCCAACCTCTGGGCAAAATCATCTATTTTTCTAGTTCTCTTCAATTATTATTTCATCTGATTAAGATAATGTAGAAAGTGATAGCCAGAAACAGAAAAAAATGCACTTTCCTGAGCTACAAGTATAGACATTTAAATCACACAGCTTCAGCCTGAGAAGGAGTTTGAGGTACTACCAGGTACTCTTACTTTCATGAGAATAAATTAGAAAAATGCCTGCGTTTCACCTTAGGAGTGGGTACACGGGCTTTCACGCATCTCAGGCAAAGTGAGGAGAACAGAGTTCTTACAGCAAGGGGCTAGTGGCAAACCAGAGGACAAGATGTTTTCTCTCTCTTCTGTCCCCTTATCGTAGGTGAGAGAGAAACAAGACAAGACCCCCCACCATCCTGGGGTAAACACACAGGGAAGGAGTAAATAAGTGGCTGCAGATGACTCTACCATGATAAGGAACTGTGACAGAAGAGCAGGTCTGAGGGGCGCCTGGGTGGCTCAGTCGGTTGAGCACCTGCCTTCAGCTCAGGTGGTGATCCTAGGGTCCTGGGATCGAACCCCGCATCCAGCTCCCTGCTCAGTGGGAAGCCTGTTTCTCCCTCTGCCTCTCCCCCATGCTCTCTCTCTCTCTCAAATAAATAAATAAAATCTTAAAAAAAAAAAAAAAAGGAATCACCATACTGTTAAAAAAAAAATAGATCAAGTTGTTCCACTTTAACAAAAGATGCTACCTGGACTAGAAGATTTTATAGTTCTCTGGATCTAGACTACCTTCGCACTGACGGGATGTGCTACTAAAAGAGGCCATGAAGTCCTCGCAGTGATGTCCTTGACTAGGGCCATGGCAGAGTCAGGGTCTACGAGTCGCTGAAGAAGCTTGTTTGGATTAGTTTAGACTTTGTAAGTCAGGCTATTTATAATTACTTTATTTTTTCTTATTTTTTTCCTGTCACTACTTATGGTTTAAGTCTTTTTTTTTTTAAGATTTTATTTATTTATTTATTTATTTGAGAGAGAGCATGAGAGGGGGAAGGAGCAGAGACAGAGGGACAAGCAGACTCCACACTGAGCATGGACGCAGCGCTCAATCTCACAGAGCCTGAGATCATGGCCTGAGCCGAAACCAAGAGTCGGACGCTCAACTGACTGAGCCACCCAGGCGTCCCTGGTTTAATAAAGTCTTAATGAATAGTTCAGTCTGTCCCACCTGTATTAAGGATTAAGGAGAATCACAGGAGGGGACATCAGTCAGAGCCTTCAGGACATCAGTCAGAGCTCCCAGTGTACCCCTGGGAGCCCATATAGCAGAGGGAATTTGAGGGAGAAAGCAAAGGAAGAGCTTTGGGGACAGCCACCCTCCTTGGCTGAACATTCTCCTTGCAGCGTAAAAAACCTACAGACAGGGGCACCTGGGTGGCTCAGTTGGTTAAGCGACTGCCTTCGGCTCAGGTCTTGATCCTGGAGTCCCTGGATCGAGTCCCGCATCGGGCTCCCTGCTCGGCAGGGAGTCTGCTTCTCCCTCGGACCCTCCCCCCTCTCATGTGCTCTCTCTCATTCTCTCTGTCTCAAATAAATAAATAAAATCTTTAAAAAAAAAAAAAAAACAAACCTACAGACAGTGTACTGTTCTGACATGAAATAATTCCTTCAAATAGGAAGCAGGAAATGGCTTTTTCTTCTCTTCTTAGCAGGTTCTTTCAAGTAAATTGGCCAGAAAAGACACAAGGTTTTTGTTTTGTTTTGTTTTGAATGGAAAGAAACAAAGCGAGAAGAGTTTTGACGCCAAGGAAGCATGGAGCCCCCAGAGCTGATGAGAAGTGAACCAGAGAGACTTCTTATTCCAGGTAAACCAGTTAGTAAATGAAAACAAGCCTCAATCTTTGAAATGTTATTCAGGAAGGAAAGAGGGAAAGAAATGAATTACTCAAGTCTTGACCCTAGAAATCTAAAGAAGTAATATGATTCTAAGTGCGAAGTAAAATGCCTAAATGAGAGCCAATTCTCTATTTCTTTGCAACTGATGTCAGATCAAGAAAATAATTTCTGTCTTCAAAGAACACAGGTTTCTTATTTAGAGCTACCTTAGCATCTGATAAATACAAGTCAACACTGGCATTATGTCACAGACAACTTAAATGTTTTGTGTGTTTTGACCTCACGGAAATAAGGATATTCACTGCAGTACTATTCATAATAGTGAAAAATCGACAACAACCTCAATGCCCTACAATTGGAGACTGGTTAAATATAAATTATGATACATCCATAAAATGGAATTTTATATCCTGCTGAATAGAATTCATGTCACAAGCTATTAATTGACATGGAAAAATATTTGGTAGATTTAAAGGCAGGCCATGAGACGGTGTGTGTAAAATGACCCCATTTTCATAAACATATTTGCTGATAGAAAAAGCCTGACAAGGGGCACCTCGGTGGTTTAGTCGGTTGGGCGTCTGCCTTTGGCTCGGGTCATGATCTCAGGATCCTGGGATAGAGTCCCACATTGGGTTCCCTGCTCAGCACAGAGTCTGCTTCTCCCTCGCCCTCTGCCCCTCCCCCCACTTCAGCACGCACGCGTGCTCTCTCGCTCTCTCTCAAATAAATAAATAAAATCTTAAAAAAAAAAAAAAAGCCTGACAAGATACCTACTAAAATATTAACAGTAATTATCTCTAGATAGTGGAGTTATGGGTGCTTTTCTCCTTTTGTACTTCGTATATACTCCAAGTGTTCTGCATTGAGAATGTATACTTTTATGATCAGAAAAAGCACTAAGTGTTAAAAAAGCAGGGTTGAGAATACACTGAGAAAATTGGCTTCAGAGAGACCTTACTCATCACTCATTAATACGGAGCTGGTTTGAAGGGATGAGAGTGATAGTCAATAAACAGCAAATCATGGGCCCCACACTTTTAACTCCGACAGGTTCAAATGTTTCTCCAGAGGCCTTGGCTCGCTCTTACCTGATCCAGTCCGCCCCACGATGCCAATCTTCTCCTTGGGTTTGATGGTGAAGGACACCTTCTTCAGAACCAGAGGGAGATTTTCTTGGTACCTCATCTCTGCATTCTCAAAGGTCACCTCTCCTTCCTGGGGCCAGTCAGGGGAGGGAGCCTTGTTCTTAATTCTGGCAGGTGCTTCCAAAGAGAGAGTCTGGGGAGACAGGAGTGGCTGGGTCAGACTGACCAGCTTCTGTGGGAGCTGCGAGGCTTTCAAAGAGAAGTAAACGCCAGACAACCACAGCAGCCATACAGAAGCAGCTGCTGCCCTCTTCCCTTCCCATGGAAGATGCCCTTGGCAGCACATGCTTATTACCACTAAACCAGACAGAGTGCGATGGTGACTAACTTCACTCTTAGCCATTTACAGCGGCCACGAAGCAGCATGGGGGGGGCAGGGGGCAGTGGCCTTCCAACTGTTTTTTGTCTTAGGGAACTTCTCCACAAAACTGCCTTGGAGGCCAAGGGTGGGGCATGAGGCCTTCCACGGCTCTTCAAACACAGCCCTTTTTATTGGAATTCTTTCACAATATTCTACTTGAAACAAGATTCCACCATTTGAAAGCCAATCGCCCAAACCCAAAGGAAGGCAACTACCATTTCCTGAACATTTCATCAGATCCTGGCATTCGGACGTATCAGTCACCCAGGAGACATGGGCTCGAAGCTCAATCTGCCCCCAATTGTGATGTGACCTGGATATATCACTTCTTCACTCTAGGTCTTAGTTTCTCATCTGCAAGTCGTGGGGACTGGATGAGAGAATCGTGGAAATCCATTCAGCTTTAAAAATGCTGTGTAACTGCTTGGGTAATTTTTGTTACCAACAGTCCCACCTTGCAATGTTTGAAAATTCTCTGGCAACTAGTCACGGGACTTTACGGCCTCCTAGGGAAGTGAAAGCCAACAGCTGTGGAGCTATGGGCAGGGACGGGGGTGGGGCTGGGAGGGCAGGTGGAGACTGACATCTTGAACTCCAAGCTGGAAGGGCTCCGTGTTGGCAGAGGCATCCAGGTTGGGCACTGGCAGTGGGAGCCAGTCCTCAGAAATGTGACTGGTTTGTGCAGGGTCCACTCTACCATGACTGACCATCACCGTGACCTTTTTAGCAAGAGACTCTCACCAACAGCAATTTTTTTTTTTAAGATTTTTATTTATTTATTTGAGAGAGAGAATGAGAGAGAGCATGAGAGGGAAGAGGGTCAGAGGGAGAAGCAGACTCCCTGCCGAGCAAGGAGCCCGATGTGGGACTCGATCCAGGGACTCCAGGATCATGACCTGGCCGAAGGCAGTCGCTTAACCAACTGAGCCACCCAGGCGCCCCACCAACAGCAATTTTAAATCAAACACTACACACCCAGATACTGTCCCCAGACATGAGCACTGGGCAAAGAACCCAATGGATAAATAAAAGGAACAGCTATTAGATATTTATCTGCCATAGATAGCTATCTGCCATTCTTTCTGAGAATAATAATGTATAAGTTCAAAAAATATCCTACACTTAATAAGGTTCATTGTCAAAACAGTTCAGGAAAGCATGTCTGCTGGAAAATGCAATTTACATAATATGCTAGTTCTCAACTGAAAGGGTAGTTTTTCAAAATTATGTTTCTAAGTCAATTATCTGGAAATTGAGATATATTCTTCCCACATAAACCATGATATAAATGCTGATAAAGTCTCTGGGCAGTTCCCAAAATAGGTAACTTCTCTGAACTGAGTTAAATTTGAGAGTCTTAACTACTTGTGACTCTGCTTCTCTCTATAGAAAACTGCTTTCAGCGTCCCAGCTGGGACATGCTCCGGCCGTAAGACGCTGCCCTGAGGTAGCACTGAAGGGTTACTGAGGGAAGGCAGGAAGAGTCAGTTCATCTCAGTATCAACAAAATTAAACTGGTTTCTAAACTAGGAATGCAGTTTAGAATTAGCCACGGAGCTTCTAAAATGTCAGAAGCCTGGGGCTCACCCCGGATCGACTGTATCAGAATCTCCAGAGATGAGGCCTGCGTCTGTCTCTGCCTAAAGCTCAGCAGGGATACCAACGGCCATCCCTGGTTAAGAACAAGTGAACTAGGGTCGCCTGGGTGGCTCAGCCGTTAAGCATCTGCCTTTGGCTCAGGTCATGGTTCCAGGGTCCTGGGATCGAACCCCGCATCGGGCTCCCTGCTCAGCGGGAAGCCTGCTTCTCCCTCTCCCGCTCCCCCTGCTTGTGTTCCCTCTCTCGCTGTGTCTCTCTTTGCCAAATAAATAAATAAAATCTTAAAAAAAAACCAAACAAACAAGTAAACTAGAATAAGATTTAAAACACTCCATGGGGCGCCTGGGTGGCTCAGTTGGTTAAGCGACTGCCTTCGGCTCAGGTCATGATCCTGGAGTCCCTGGATCGAGTCCCGCATCGGGCTCCCTGTTCGGCAGGGAGCCTGCTTCTCCCTCTGACCCTCCCCCCTCTCATGTACTCGCTCTGTCTCATTCTCTCTCTCTCAAATAAATAAATAAATCTTAAAAAAAAAAAAAAACCCTCCATGGTTTTAAACACTGTAAGGAAAATGACCTACATTCTTAATCAGACACAATTCACAAAAACATTTAGAACCTCTTAGGATAATCTCTTCTCCACTCCACACAGGCTGAAGAGACTGCTGGTCCTCGCCTGTGAGAAACAAGCATCCTCCTTGCACCACCACCCGAGGCAGCAAAAGGGTAAAAGGGTCATGAAGAAAGGCTTTCGCGTCCTGACCTGGATGTAGTGGTTGATCCTCTCCACTGAGGTGAAGCGGGCTTCTGTCTCGGATGCCAGTCTGACGGTAAACTGGAACAGGCCGGTTAACTGATAATGGAAGGCAAAATCCAAGAAGGAATTCATTATGAATACATGTCAGGCCAACGCCAGAAAACATCTTCCAGCTAGGGGATTACAGCTCAATATACCAACGAACCGGGCACCGGCAGCAGCTGGTTTTACGGACCGAGTCATTCTCTAAATGTTTAACATGATGCCTACTATCCCCCAGTCCATTGCAATTCTCAACAAAGGCAGGTGGCATTGTGGGACGGCTGGCGCTGACTTCCCTGCAGCCAAAGGCTTTCCATCCATTTTCACGTTTCCAGCACGCACATCTGCAGCTGAGTAACTTCCGGGCTTCCTGCCGAGCAGCCTGCACCTACTCTGGCAGTCACAACAAATGGAGATCTATATCACCCTGTGAGCTGCTGGTGAGAATGCAGAGCCCCCTGGGCACCTCACACTGAGGATCCTGAACCACAGTACTTAGAACACCTATTCTCCCCCTGATGATCAAGTAAGTCCGTATAACATGGACAGGCATCTTTGAGAATCTGTGAAGATACATTAGCTCTTCTTGGTTTTGTTTCCCTACTTATTTGTTTTGACCTTTCTGACATGGAAAAAATGTCAAACATATACAAGAGTAGAAAGGGCAGTATAATGAACTCCCATGTCTTTAAAAACCTGTCAACTTATAGATAACATTGTTTCATCCATACCACACCACCCATCTGCATTATGTGAAAGCAAATCCCAGACATCCTATCCGTTCATTCTTAAATAATTTAGCTTGTATCTAACACATAAAGACTCTTTAAAAACACAATACCATTGTCCAACACCATGATGACATCTAAAAAATTAGTAATAATTCCTTAACATCTACAAATACTTAGTGCTCAAGTTCCCAACTGTTCTCTGAGCTATTTAAAGACCTTAAACCATCCCTAGGGGTCGGGTCTACATATGTAACAGTTTTGGGAAAATCAGGGGCCTGAAAATAAAATGCATGTAAGAAGCATATTGAGGACACAGTATTTCTTAGAAGACCAGGAAGATGCCAGAAACGAGAGGGTGGTGAACGTAGAAACCTGTAATTAAGAAACCATTTTCAAAATCGTGTTTATTTATAAATAAATGGCACCTACTTCTTTTTTTTTTTTTTAAGATTTTATTTATTTATCTGAGACAGAGAGAATGAGAGAGACAGAGCACACGAGAGGGGGGAGGGTCAGAGGGAGAAGCAGGCTTCCTGCCGAGCAGGGAGCCCGATGCGGGACTCGATCCAGGGACTCCAGGATCATGACCTGAGCCGAAGGCAGTCGCTTAACCAACTGAGCCACCCAGGCGCCCAAATGGCACCTATTTCTTAAACATGTGCAACAGACTTAAATCCCTTTGTTCCTATATAACACACGTACCTCTCTCCCATCCTCTCCACCCCAGCCAAGTCCAGGCTGTTACTAAGAAAGTAGGTGGGCAGAAGCTCTAGAAGTCTCAAAGGCTGAGGGAGAGCCCCCTACCATGCCTCTCCTAGGCCAACACAGAACTCATGTGAGCAAAGGTAATGCTCCATCCCTGAGACTGACCTGGACGGCATAGGAGATGGCAAGACCCGAGTAGGCGGGGGGAATCTGCCCGTGCATGAGAACGATCATCAGCCCGGTGGTGGTGATCAGGGCAATGCTGATCAGGTCCAGCCGCACAGCCAGCCACCGCATTGCACATGTGAACAAGAAGAAAGGACCTTGGTTGTTATCCAGGAGCTCCTGGTACCTGTGAGGGCGAGAGGGCGACAGAACACCTAATAGGCAAACAAAGTACCACGTCATCCCGAGAGCGGGTGATGTCAGAGCTCTGGTGAATTATGGGGAGGACTAACTTTTAAGTACTTCCTGTTTGTCCCTAGGAGAAGGATATGGAAATCTAAGGGCTGCAGAGTATTCCAGGCTCTGCACATAGGACAACTTGGGGTTTTCTAGTTTTATTCTTTCAAAGAAACATGTTCAAGACATTAGGGAAAAATACGTATGTTAATGACAGAACAAATGCACAGGGAAAGGAGACCAAATACAGAGGCTGGTTAAGCTTCAGAAAAATGTCTTAGGTCAGGGGTCCCTTCCTCAAAGAGACAGGCTACATAGGCAAACTGCAGAAATGCACTAAGACCTGGAAAGATAAACTTGCAGACTTAAAGTGGGAAAGTGGAAAATGTCTGCTGACACACTGCTGTTGGGCAAAATGGTACTTGTTTCCAAGGCCGTGGAGCACAGAACCAGGAAGTAAACCACAGCAAAAAAGACCTGGACAACCTCTGCCATTTAAGGAGCAAGACACTACTGTCCCCAGGGGTCCTAGAGAGATCAGACCCCATCCAAAGGCTCAGGTGTCACATACACATACAATTAGAACGCCTGAGCAGGAAGTCTTGCCAAGCAAATGTGCTTTGCTTTAAAAAAAAAAATCACTTTTCCTCTTTATGTAAGATATTTGGAGAAAAATTAGGAAATGCAGTAAAGAAGAAAATGCAGTGTTCTCACCACTCAGTTAAAACCAGGGTTAATAGTCTGCTGCATCTTCTCCCAGCATTTTTTCCAATATAGTTAAATGTAGGTATGTATGTATGTATGTACATACACATGCATGGAGCGTATTTTACTGTTCTTCTCTTAAAGTGATGATTATTTTTCTGGGTCATTTAACCTAAACTTTCTTCTTTATTTAAATTTAATCATTAACATATAATGTATTAGTTTCTGAGGTAGAGTTCAGTGATTCATCAGTTGCATATAACACCCAGTACTCATTATATCACGTGCCCTCCTTGATGTCCATCACCCAGTTTTCCCATCGCCCCCACCCCTCTCCCCTCCAGCAAACCAAAGTTTTTTACCTATGGTTAAGAGTCTCTTGTGGTTTGTCTCCCTCTCTGATTTCGTCTTATTTTATTTTTTCCTCTCTTCCCTTATATACATCTGTTTTGTTTCTTAAATTCCACATATGAGTGAGATCCTATAATTGTCTTTCTCTGGTTGACTTATTTTGCTTAGCATAATACCCTCTAGTTCCAGCCACATCATTGCAAATGGCAAGATTTCATTCTTTTTGATGGCTGAATAGTATTCCATTATATATATGCCATATATATATGCCACATCTTCTTTATCCATTCATCTGTCGATGGACATCTGGGTTCTTTCCATAGTTTGGCTATTGTGGAAATTGCTGCTATAAACATTGGGGTGCATGTGCCCCTTCGGATCACTACATTTGTATCTTTGGGGTAAATACCCAGTAATGCAATTGCTGGGTCATAGGGTAGCTCTATTTTCAACTTTTTGAGGCCTTTTTTTTTTTTTTTTTTTTGAGATAGAGAGAGAGAGAGCTAGTGGGGGGGGGGGGGCGGAGGGAGAGGGAGAGAGAGAATCCCAAGCAGACTCTAGGCCCAACTCAGAGCCAGACATGGGGCTTGGTCTCAAGATCATGACCTGAGCCAAAATTAAGAGTCAGATACTCAACCAACTGAGCCACCCAAGTGCCCCTAAACTTTCTATTTAGATTTTCTTTTTAAAATTACTTACTTAATTTTTGGAACAGACATTAGTTTTTGGAATAGACAATTTACACATAGGATAGAATATTTAGACAGCATAAAATGTTTTACCATGAGAAGTCAGTTTTTCTCCTGCCCATCCACCAGCTACTCAGTTCCCCTTTGGGGGTGGAAACTAGTACTTCCTTGTGTATCCTTTCAGAGATTTTCTAAATGTTATATGTACAAACACATACCTAAAAGGGAGCATATCATACACCCACATCTGTACCTTGCTCTTTCACTAATGGATTGTAGAGATCATTCCATATCAGTACCTATAGAACTGTCTCATTTTTTTTAAGATTTATTTATTTATTTATTTATTTGAGAGGGAGAGTGAGAGAGAGCGTATGGTGGGGAGGGGCAGTGGGAGAGGGAGAAAGAATCTCCAGCAGACTCCCTGTTGAGCACAGAGCCCGATGCAGGGCTCGATCTCACGACCCTGAGATTATGACTTGAGCCGAAATCAAGAGTCAGATGCTTAACCAACTGAGTCATCAAGGCGCCCCTCTCTCATTCTTTTTAAGGGCCACATACTATTCTTATTTAACCAGCTCTCTCTTGAAGAACATTTAAATTAGTTCCAATCTCTTGTTAATACAAATCTCAATGACTGTCTATGTACATAAATTTGTCACCTAAACAATATTCAGCAGATAACATAAAATGTCGGTTTAATGTCAATGACCATCACTGTTCCAAAAAAAGGAAAGAAAAGAAAAAAGAAAAACTCCTTCAAATATAGCCATTTAGAGTCCAAAGCCAATAGACTCCAAACCTGTAGTTTTGTCTTCTCATTTGCTTAGAAAGTTCCAGCAAGTGAGTAAATTTTAATCAGAGACCATTACATCACTTGGTAATGAGCTTTATAATCCCCAGCTCTGGCCTTGAAGGGCCTCTTAGACTTATTAAATGCTGGTATGTTGACTCCCCTTTGAGCCCTCCGGCCGCCATCAACACTGACCTGTGCAGAAATTCCTGCCCTTTGTTGTAGGCGTGGATGGTGGCAAGGCCCTGTATGCTGGATGTGATGTGGGAGAGGAAAGGGGACTGTGTGATGTTGTCCAGACGCTTCAGCTCTCGAATCAGGACCCTAGAGAGAGAATGAGTTCTGTGTCACAGCAGTAGACAAACAACCCTGGCTTCATCGCTGGGAGATGTGAACACTTCTTGTTTACCTGGAGACAATGTGCAGAACTGAAAAGAGGATGAAGAGGGGCCCCACCGCCACCAGGAACCACGGGAAAACTCCGGCGATCATACCAACACAGAAGAACACCAGGATGACATTTTGGATGAACATCTCGGCCTGGAATGGCAGGCGCACATCGACTGGGGAAACCACAAGGGAGCAAGGATCAGACTGCTGGGACCCACAAACAGGGAGAGTGCGACCAAAAATTTTTAAAAAACACAAAGAGGTTCCACAAATTCTCTATCTCAAATGTGTGTGTTGTCTTTTAAATCAAAGAAAAATCTAGAAACCTGCTTGATCTCATTTTTCTTGTCCCAAGGAAATCTAAGTGGTCTTTCTCCCCCAGGCCCTCTCCTGGGTTTATGAGGCTACCCAACCCCTTTAAACAATTTTCCCTTTAAAAGTCATATACTTCTGTTGCAAAATATTTGGAAAATAAATAGGCAAGAAGGAAACATAATCTTTAGTCTTACCCGTAACAATAAACTGCTGCTAACATTTGAGAAATTTTTCATTATGGAAAAATTTAAACATACACAAAAATCAAAAGAATGTAGAACCTTCAAAAGTTATCAGTATTAGGGGCGCCTGGGTGGCTCAGTTGGTTAAGCGACTGCCTTCGGCTCAGGTCATGATCCTGGAGTCCCTGGATCAAGTCCCGCATCGGGCTCCCTGTTCGGCAGGGAGCCTGCTTCTCCCTCGGACCCTCCCCCCTCTCATGCTCTATCTCATTCTCTCTCTCAAATAAATAAATAAAATCTTTAAAAAAAAAAAAAGTTATCAGTATTTTTTTCATCTTCTCTAGAAGGGCTATCTCCTCCTCCCACTTTTTTTTTTTTGGCTGGAGTATTTTCATAAAAATCCCAGACATGTTGATATCACTGATTTTTTCCTTTCCACCTTTCCTCCATTTGTGTGTGTGTGTACGCATCAGTTCTGTGTATCAGTGATGGTTCTGATCCCTTGTTATCTCTGGCCATGGCTTTACATTGGCTTTATCAACATCTGAAACAAACTCCTGTGGAGGCGGCACAGGGTGATAGTTAAAAGCATTAGCTCGAGGCTAAAAAGATCTGGGCTCGATTCCCAGTTTTGTTATCTAATAGCTATGTAATCTTGGGCAAGTTATTTAACCTTTCTAGACATCAGCTTTCCCATGCATTCAGTGGGTGAATCAATACCCATCCCATAGGGCTCCTGTGAGGATGAGGATAATGTATCTAGCACACTGCTGGTTACACGGGAAGCCCTCAATAAACGTCAGGTGCTATTACTATTATACTGAGCTATGAGAAGGAGTTAAGTTCTGGTGCTTGCACAGCCCACACAGCATCCAGAAAACCTGCCAGAGGTTTAAATGTCCAGGAACCAATGCACTACCCTCAAAGTAAACATGTTCTGGAATCTCAGACGCTCCCGTCCAAAGTATTTAGGCCAACTCGATCCTCTGAACTTGTTTTCAGGTTAAATGAGCTCAGGTGAGAACTTAGATGACAGGTGAAAAAACCAGATGGGTCCTTAGCTAAGTACTTAGCCTAAGTACTCAGCTAAGTACTTAGCCTAAGTACAAGTTGCAACCTGGAGAGAAGTCCAAAACTAAACTGTTCCTGGTGTGGACCCCAACAGCCGCTGTACTCTCAGAACATACGGATGGATAGGTGAGCACGCCTGGCGGGTTATTTAGAAGGCTGCAGAGCACGGGGAGCTGCAGCTTATGCTCCAGAGCATAAAAGAAGCAGTGAGAAATACCTTCGTCCATGTCTTTGGAAAACCTGTTGAGAATCCTCCCTGTGGGGGTGGTGTCAAAGAACTTCATGGGGCTTCGGAGGATCCTTCGGAAAAGTTCGTCATGGAGCCGGGAGGAGGCTCGCAGTGTGCCCTAAGGAGCAGAGGACAAAGTGATCAGGGCCCAGAGACCCAAGGACTCAGGCAGACTCAGTTCCTATTTACCCAGGTCCCAGCTCCAGAAGACATCCACTCGCAAAGCTGGAGAAGGGCAAATGGTCACAGAAGAAAGAGGTGGGTACTCGGAAAAGGCTGAGGCTAATGGGATACAGGTCATTTCAGCTAAATCCTGCTTCCAAGGAGCTCCCCTGCTCGGAATGACCCCGAGAGAGGCTGACCACACAGTCACTAGGGAGAGGAGACGCAGGAGCCACCCGCTGCATACCTTGACAAAGACAACTCCTCGAATGGCTTTCAGGATCAGCATGACTGCCATGGAGAGGGCGTAGATGCTGGCATAGTACTGCATGAGAGGATTGTCCTTCATGCTACTGCTCAGAGAGGTCTTGTTCCCTTGCGTCGCTGTGGCGTTCTGTTTGGAGGCAAGGCTCTGTGAGGTAAGACTCCTAAGGACAGCCAGGAACTCCTACTCGGGGCCATTCTCAGCTCAAAGGAAGGGGCAGGATAATGACTGTGGGGCTTGGTTGCGGCAAACACAAGGCAAGCTTTGCCCGTCCCCTTCTCGCTTTTCTAGTGGAGGAGGGCAGACAGCCTCCAGGGGTCCTGCTGCTACATAGCTGGTCAGGGAGCAACTATCCTGTGAGGCCACGTTAGGGGCTCATCTTTTGCACCCTGGGTAATCCTTGTTCACTAGTTCTTTCCATCGAAAACGAGAGCAGTTTCCCCGAGGACAGCCAGAGAATACAAAGAAACAGCGACATTCTGAGACAATACACTTTTCCCATTAGTGAGGAAACTTACCCCACTTCCTTGCTTGATCCAGTAACTCAACCACCAATTGCTGAAGGCGGTGCTGCCCACATTCAGCATGAAAAGGGATATAATGACCAGGAAAGCCAAGGGGCCCCCCGCGGCCTGGATGTAGACACCGTATACTGACCAGGGCACTGAACCCTGCCCCTTTTCTTCCAGTTGCACCAGCTGCCCTAGGTAAGAAAAAAACAAAACAAAAACACATGAACTCAGCAGGAAAAAGCTACTTTTCCAAAACTAAGTCACTTATAGGAGAGCAGACTCAAAGAAAACCTATAGTTTCACATGGCTCTAGATTAGAATTCTTTTATCCTGGCTAGAATATTCTTCCATTGAACATTTACTAAACACCACTATGAACCGGGCCCACGATGAGGCCCTGGAGCAATTAAGCCCACGTCCCTGTCCTTGAGATCTGGCAGAGGGTCTTTCCATAGCCTGGTAGGACAGACAAAATGAACACAGAATTATAATAAAATATGCTAAATGCAATGCTAGAGATATATGCAGGGCAGCACGGTAACATCCAGGTGTACCTAACCTCCTTGGGGGAGCGGTTTCAGGGAAGACTTTCTGCCCTCTATATGGTCTCAAAAAGTACACCAGGTGGGGAAAAGGTGGGCATCAGCACAAAGGTAGGAAAACAGCCAGCCAATTCAGCAAGGATGGACCATTAAGTGCACCTAACAAGCGGCAGGAGATAAAGTCGATTACGGAAGCTTAAGAGAATGGGCTACACATGCGTGGAGATTTGACTCCCAGGCTTTGGATCTGTGGATGGCCAGATCAGCCGCCTCTGGCAGCGAGCAGCCTCGTCCATGCATCCCAGTGTCCCGTACAAATGATGGCATTTTCTATGTGTGCCCTATCAGGACCAAGATGAGAAAACACTGCTTTGAAATGGGAGGCCACTGAAAGACTTCCTGAGGGAAAGTGAGTTGGTTGGTCACCCATTTTTTTTTTTTAAAGATTTTATTTATTTATTTGAGAGAGGCAGAGAGAGCGAGAGCACATGCAGGGGGAGAGGCAGAGGGAGAAGGAGACTCCCCGCTGAGCAGGGAGCCCGACGCAGGGCTCCATCCCAGGACCCTGAGATCATGACCTGAGCTGAAGGCAGACGGTTAACCGACTGAGCCACCCAGGTGCCCCTGGTCCCCCATTTTTAACTAGACCTCTCAGCTGTCTGCATGGGGGCCAGATTTAAAAGGAAGCAGCTGTAACACTCTAGGTGCACGATGATGGGGCTAGAACCAGGGTCGTGGCAATGGGGTTGGAGGTTCGGGAGGTAAATTCATTAGACCATGGTGATCGGCTGAGGAGGAGAGAAAGGCTCAAGGGTACCTCCTGGAGGCTCCCTGGGATGGTCAGGTGACTGATGCTGATGCCCTAATACAGAGAAACAGCCCTCCAAAAAGCCAGTGCCTCTATATCACGGGCAACGTCTAATTATCTTGGAACAAGCCTCACGTGCCTGGAGTACTTGGAGAGTTGTGAGTATCCAGGTCAGGGGCTCTGTAGATGAGAACAAACATTCCCTCAGGGTTCTCTGGGGTTTTTGATACTGCCTGTGCCAGGAACAGAGAGATGACTCAGCCTTCAGGGCTGTGTTTGTTTTGTGTGTGTACAGGTATCTTAAATCACACCCAGTGCAAAGTCTCATGCCTGGTTTACGGAAAGAAAGAAAAGCGGCAGGGTGTGCTAAGTCAGGATGGTCAACTCCTAACACCAAACAACTGTGCAGTTTTAAGAACAAGGAAGTGAAAACAGGCCCAGGGCCAAAGTCCTGAATTCATAACGTGAGGTGACTCGGTGACAACAAAAGAGAGTTTTAAAACAGGGCTGCGCTCTTTGTTCTGTATCTCGGGTAAACTGGTGCAGCTTAAGATTCACAAAGGTGAAAATGCCGGAGGCATTACAAATAGTTTTCCTAACTCTCAATATTTGCTTTAGTTGATAAGATAAAGGATTTACGAAACCAGAGCCAGGACTCTGGCCGGGGAAAGTCAGGCAGGAAAAACCTGCGCTGTAACTCTTCAGCCTGGCCCTGTTGTAGTCTCATCAGAAAAAGCCAGGAGGAGGCGCCTGGGTGGCTCAGCCCGTTAAGCGGCTGCCTTCGGCTCAGGTCATAATCCTAGAGTCCCAGGATCGAGTCCCGCATCGGGCTCCCTGCTCAGTGGGGAGTCTGCTTCTCCCTCTGACCCTCCCCTCTCTCATGCTCTCTGTCTCATTCTCTCTCTCAAATAAATAAATAAATAATCTTAAAAAAAAAAAAAAAGCCAGGAGGGTAACATTCTAATGAGGGGGCTACTGAAGATGTAGACACTGCTCGTGCTGAAACATCTCTTCCTAGACTGGCACTGACTTTTATTTTATTTTTAAGATTTTTATTTTTAAGTAATCTCTATACCCGAAGTGGGGCTCAGAACTCACAACTCTAAGATCAAGAGTTGCACGCTCTGCTGAGTCAGCCACAGACTGGCACTGACTTTTGTTTGTTTTTTAAGATTTTATTTATTTATTTGAGAGACAGAGCGAGAGAGCGAGCATGAGCAAAGGGGGGAAGGGCAGAGGCAGAGGGAGAAGCGGGCTCCCTGCTCAGCGGGGATGCGGGGCTTGATCCCAGGACTCCAGGATCATGACCTGAGCTGAAGGCAGATTGGCACTGACTTTTAAAGAGCAGAGGTGAGGGGTGCCCTCTGCCCTCCCCTACCCATGCTTGCTCTCTCTCTCTCTGAAATAAAATCTTCAAAAAAAAAAAAGCAAAGGTGAATCACGGGAAGAAGGGTATACCTCTACTCATCATTCCATTTCTCCTTACTCAAGATGACTCAGCTATGATTACAGACACCTGACCCACAGTATGTAGCCAAGGCAGAGGATTAAAGGTCATTCTTACTGTTTTGGTCTGTTTAAGCAAACAGAAGGCACCTCATAGTCTCCCAATATTATACAAGAATTTGTTATTCCAGAAATATAAGGCCAGAGGACTCTACAACACACAATGCTGTCAAACATTATGAATTACCACTTGGCATACTTTCCGATAAACTTTAATGACAAATCTAAAATCTCAAAAAAGGTCATTACCTTCCTCTGGCTTCACTGCTTTCTCCTTCTTTACTGATCCTGTTTTAGGACCTTTGTCTTGTGATTTCTTCTGTGAACCGCTGGTTTCTTTTTTTGAATTAATCTAATATTAAAAAAAAGTGTGGTTACAATACGGCCATTCAGACAAATGTCCACAGGCACACTGGAGAATCATCTTCAAGCTGCTACTATTCTTGAGAAGAGATACATCAAACCTCTTAAAAGGGCCACTTTCTTGTGCTTCCTCAACTCCTTTAGTCTTCGGTATCTGGGTTCCTATCCTGTTATTCCATAGACATTGCTTTCCCCAATGTTCTCATCCACTCCAACTTGCCCAAAGTATTAGGGCTGGGGCATTCCCATTCCTTCATCTCTGATCTCCACATTACTAAATCCAATCATAGATCTGACCATTTCCCACTGCGACCACAGGATATACTCAAATTCAGCCTGGTTTTGCAAAACCTCCACATTCTGGCCCTAGCCCGACTCTGTATGTTCTTCTCCCATTCCTGTGACTTCTACTCTCCAGCCACACTGGATTTCACACCATTCCTCACACCATCCTGCCATTCCCCACTTCTGGACCTTTGTCCACACTGGTTCTTCACTTGGAATGCCCCTCCCCTCACCCCAACTCAGTTACAGTTATCCCCATTCGGAGGGATTCAAATCTTAAATCCTCCCTGAGGCAACTTAGACTCCTCTAGGACAGAGCTCACCCCTCCCCTGTTCTCCCAGGCACTCGGTTAGTACTTCATGATAGCATGTTGCAGCAAATGTGACCTGGTGTTACAGTTCCCTATAAGAGCATCAGAGCATCGGTCTTGCTTAGCAGACTGCGAGTCCCTCGAGGATGAGATGATGTCTGACTCACGGTGGTAACCTGTACCAGACCTAGCACCAAGCACTGCCCATAATAGGACACAAAGTGACTTAATAAACATCCATCAGATTGTACCTGAGACAACAGAGGCTACTTAATGCTCCCCTTTTGAAGTTCCTCTTATTATCTTTATATAGAAAATTCCCTTAATTTAGTTTACTACATTTACTTCTTAAAAGATTTTACTTTTAAGTAATCTCTATGCCCAACATGGGGCTCAAACCTATAACCCCGAGGTGCCTGCGTGGCACAGTTGATTGAGCATCTGACTCTTGGTTTCCACTTAGGTCATGATCTCAGGGTCATGGGATTGAGCCCCAAGTTGAGCTCTGCACTCAGTGGGGAGTCTGCTTGGTATTCTCTCTCCCTTTCCCTCTGTGCTCTCTCTCTCAAATAAATAAATAAATCTTTAAAAAACAAAACAAAACAAGCCTACAACCTCGAGATCAACAGTCCCATGCTCTACTGACTAAGCCAGCCAGGCGCCCTGAGCTTACTACATTTAATTCTATGTCAGTCAGCCTCATGACCCCAGTTTGCTCTCCAACTAGACTTTTTAAACGGACAGTGAAAAAAACCAGAAAATATAAAATTTAAAGCCATGACAGAACACAAGATGGGGCTCTAATTTTATATTTACTACTGTGTATGAATAAATGCACTAAAGAGAAAATTATCATTTGCTGACCACTTACTAGTAAGATTACATATTATTTCATTTAATTGATGCAACAACTCTAAGAGGCAGGTGTCATCCCCATTTTTAAGATGAGGAAACCAAAGCTCAGGAAAGTTAAGTGACATTCCTAAGGTATGTTCTCTCTGAGGCAATACACCGATTCTCGATATTCTTTTGCTTCTTGGATGTTTCCTATTTTAATTTCTTTCCCTCTCATTTCCCCCCTCCACGTCTACAGTGAGGAGGAAAACTTCTGAAGAGTCCAAAGCACCCTGAGAGCCAGAGGGAGAGATCATAAAATCCATATCTGGATTCAGGTGTCTCAACTGAAGTTCCTGGTGACACTCTGGAACGCCTGTTATTCCTAGAGGCCTAAAACGCATCAGTCACGAACAGTTAATTATACTGTTCGTGAAATCAAACAGGATGACACCCAAGGACTGAAACAGGGCTCCCAGAAAAGGTCCCAGTAACTCTGCTTTTATCCTGTGCAGACATCAAATGACCTGGTAGCTAAGAAGTACCTTTTAGCCCAGCCTGAGTGCATGAGTGCACCCCTAGAATCCAGGGTGACCACAGAATAAGTAAGGAGTTCAAAATGAGAGCAGGGTGGCAAGAAGGAAAAACAACCTCTTTGGCGAGCTCTAACTAAATACCCCTGTTTGGGCCTAACTCGGAGCCCAGGGGAAAGCCATGGAAAACTGCCATTCTGTGTTGCCACAGGAAGCAGGGTAGCAAGGCAGAAGGAGCACGGTGACATCAAACCACCTTTGTTCTCGAGCTCTTAAGGTTTCTGATCTTCCATTCCCTCAGCTATAAAAGTGCGGGATAATCCTACTTTGCCACAGAGCTCTGTTAAAATGACTACATGGGATGACATCTATGACGTGTCTAACCCAGGAACTGGGACCACAGATGTCGGTTAATGAGTGCCAAATTAGCAGCCAAGGCACCAGGGATCATTGTCAAATGTATGCAATATTTAATTTCTCTTCCCTCACTCCTTCTTCACTTGTTTATTTAAAAAGGAGCTTCATAATCCTTCAGTCAGGAATGACAGAGTTTAGGAAGCTCAGTTACGACTGAACAACAGCATGTGCTGAGCCCATAACTTTCTCCCTGTCATTGCCTCATTAATGTGTTCTCAGTGGCAGAAGACATCGGCCCACCAGCCCCATAATCCTGCTCTCGTAGAGCAGCACCAGTATGTGAACTAAAGCAAAGGAGTCTGGTCACCAGAAAATAGGGCCCCTGCCAACAAGACACAGACACTGAGTTCAGCTGGGATCTCTCCATCACTCGCTACAGTCAAGTCTCCCTCGCTAGAAAGGAGGAGATGCCCACAAACGCCATGCAAATCTTACCTCAACTGGGGGTGTCTCTCCCAGCAAGAGGTTATTAAAGATGGTAGCATAGTCACCATTTAAATTCATCAGTTCCTCGTGGGTGCCTCTTTCTGTAATACAGCCTTCTTTCATGAAGATCACGTCATCACAATCGGCCAGGTACTGGAGACAAAAAGGCAGGGACAATACAATGTTGCTGACATTTGTGCAAATACATTCAACACCCACACCTTCCTTCAGAGGTTCTCATCTGGAGGCAAGTGAGCCTCCCAGGGGACATTTGGCACTCTCTAGAGCCCTTTTTGGTTGCTACAACTGGGGATGGGTACCGCTGTCATCCAGTGGATAGAGGCCAGGGCTGCACAGGACAGCCTTCCCCCCACCCCCAACAAAGAGCAATCTGGCCCAAAATGTCAATAGTGCCAAGAGTGAGAGGACCCGGTTTCGTTTACTGTGCCTCGTGATGCGGTTCAAAGAGCATCACCTCTCGTTTTTGACACAGATCTGTTGATGGAGTCACACGAGCCTTGCATTAAACTTCACAGCCCTTCGCTGTACCCAGAAGCACATGGTTACAGACTTTCTGCGGCAGAATGGGGGATGAGCCCCCTAAACCTGACAACATATGCAAAGCAGATGGCAACATCCTGGAGCTGCTCTCCAAAGTGGCTGCTTGTCTTGGCGTGACAGAGGGAGAAGAGCTTGTTTTCCTTAAACAGTTCCCACTTGCATATAGATATTAACAAGATGCTTTCCAAACGATCTCATACGCAAACTCCAGTTGCAGCCTACTCCTCTCAGCCCTTTTACTTACTGATTTATATGCAAAAGCTAACAAGCTCTGAGGATTTCTAATTCAGATGGCCATCTGGTACATCAGTACGATGAGCTTTATTGGTACAATGGGCTGGGGGCTATCTGCTGAGAAAATAAACATTGATTCCAGGAAGCTCTAAGGAGTTCCATGGAGGGACCTGGACCAAGCCCACCTCCCTGCTTCTGATTTCCCAAGCCAAGGTGGGCAGCCTGGGCAAGAATGCCCCATACCTGTAACTGGTGGGTAACAAACAGAACTGTCTTGGACTTGAGGTGCTTCTGGATAGCACTGCTGAAGATGTGGTTGCCCACGTGGGCATCTAAGGCACTGAGGGGGTCATCCAGGATGTAGATGTCCCGGTCACTATACAAGGCCCGGGCCAGGCTGATCCTCTGGCGCTGCCCACCACTCAGGTTCGCTCCTCGCTCACCAATCTACAAGAGTCCAGAAAGCACAGTGAAGCCTCCAGCTCAAGTCCAACACCAAGCTCAGCGATCACCCCCAGTCACTGCTCCTCTGCTCCACTAACCCGCTCCTTCTACTGAATTCCCCACCTGGAGGAAGTGCCACTCTGATCCTCCAGGGCCCACCCCGGAACTGCGGGAGCCAGCCCAGAGAAGACAACTCTGCCTTCCCCAGAACTCCGCCTTGACATACCACTCCAATCCATTCTCTGTGGGCAGAAAGATCTTTCCAAAGCACAAAGTTGACCATGTCCCACCCTTGCTGAAAACTGTCTTTCAAGAGCCCTAAAGAATAAAATCTAAGCCAACATGTCATAGAAAGCAAGCTCTTTGCCACCTGGCTCCACGGCAGCTCTCAGTCTCCACTGCCAACCAAGCTCTCTTCCACTCCCCGGCATCTAAGCCATTTTAAACTGTGTGTCCATTATGAACCCTCACACCACTGTCATGCCTTTTCTGTACTGTATCTGCTCAGTTCCAGCACCCTCTCCTCTGTGAAACCTACTCCCACCCTCGTCTCTACTACTGCCCAAAAGAAAGGGGACTTTTTTTTTTTTTAATTTTTTTTCTTAAAGTTTTGAGAGCTTTTATCAGCTTATTTTATAGTTATTTGTTCGGGTATCTCATCCTCTCAATTGTAAGCTTTTTGAGGGCACAGATCATTATCCTAGTCCTTTATATTCCTAGTGCCCAGCAGTTTCTGCATAAGGAGCTGGCACATGACAAGCCTTTGATAAATGTTACTAAATGAACACATGAATAAATCAATTGTCAAATGGTAACTGGCTCTGTAATTAAAAAAAAAAACAAAGAACTTGTCCTTAAAAAAACACTGAATTCAGAGATTTCAAATCTGAGCATGTATCAGAATTACCTGTAGGGCTTGTTGAAACGGATGGTTGGGCCCTGCCCCTAGAGTTTCTGATTCAGTAGGTGTGGGGTGAGGCCTAAGAATCTGCATTGCTAACCAGTTCCCAATAATACTGTTGCTGCTGATCCACTATGGGTCTGGGGACTAAGATTTGAGAACCAGTGAACTAATGAAACCATTCACCAAATCCGGTTGGAAGGATTTAACTGAAGTCAGCTGAATAAAATGCTAGCTCCAGAGACCTTCAGGGCAGGTCATGGGAAACAAGAGTCAACACCAAAGAACACAAGCCAGTTCCAAAGAAACGCCTCTGCAAACTGCTCCAGGGCAGAGAGCCAAAGAGAGAAGGGGTTGTGCTAAGGCCTCTCTCTTTCTAATTGAAGAGGGCTCTCCACAGACTGTGTATGAATAAGGAGGTTGGCTGGCAGAATAAAGTTCAGAGAAGAACCTCCACAAGCACATGCTTGACTTACGGTTTTCAAATGAATATTCAGCGTAGAAAACATTAACTCTGAACCAACATTGGGATTTTGTTTAAAATCCACATGACATACAAGGCGCCAAGGTGGCTCAGTCGGTTAAGTGTCTGACTCTTGATTTCGGCTCAGGTCATGACCTCAGGGTCGTGAGATCAAGCCCGGAGTCGGACTCTTCACTGAGTGTGGAGCCTGCTTAAAATGCTCTCTCTCGGGCGCCTGGGTGGCTCAGTTGGTTGGGCGACTGCCTTCGGCTCAGGTCATGATCCTGGAGTCCCGGAATCGAGTCCCACGTCGGGCTCCCTGCTCGGTGGGGAGTCTGCCTCTCTCCCTGACCCTCCCCCCTCTCATGTTCTCTATCTCATTCTCTCTCTCAAATAAATAAATAAAATCTTTAAAAAAAAAAAATGCTCTCTCTCCCTTTCCCTCCATCCCCTACCCCCGCCGTGTGCACATGCGCTCATGCACTCTCACCAAAAAAAAAAAAAAAATCCACATGACATGAAATATTTATATGCTGAAAACAAGTAGTGTTGATAACCCTGCCCTAAGGAACAAATGCTTTCCGAACATAAAGTCCCAATGAAAGCAAAACTCCCCATGTAGGTGCTCCCACATTTAAGATACATTACTAGGAGGTGGCTCTGGCACCGCCCTGCCACCCATCTTCCAGAATCCTCTCTGCTCAACGCACTGCCCCATTAGGGGCAGAAGGTCGGTACCTCAGTCAGGTCACTGTTGGGAAGAATGGCCAGGTCAGGCCTCAGGCAGCAGCTGTTCAGCACAGAGTTGTATCTGAAGGACATAAAGACACTTAGCATCAGGGACATGGTTGGAACAGAGCCTGTTGACGTGGGCTGCCTTGCGTCTCACATGGCCAAGACGGAAAGCATGACAGAAACCAAACATTCCTTGCCTTTCTTCATCAAATTCCTTCCCAAAGAGGATGTTGTCTCTCAGAGTGGCATTGAGGATCCAGGCCTGCTGGGCCACATAAGCGAAGGTTCCACTGACTGCAATGCTGCCCTCTAGAAGTGTCATCTAGGGAGACAGACACCATCCAATGGCATCATGAAGCAAAACCACCACCCTACGCCAACAGAACCCCCCACAATTCCGCAACGGAGTTCAAAGTTTGGGCAATCTCCTTGGATGCTTTTTGGACCTGAATCCAGACCTCGCCTTCATTCCATAGAGAGCTACAGAAGCAAAGAAAATAAAAGTTCTCTTTGCTTAGGTGTGATGGGAACCCCGCGTAATCTAGGACTTGAGTGAACAAACACTTCATTCAGCAGCCTATAAGCTACTCCAGATCCTTTCTTCCTAATTGCAAACTCTTTTAACTAAAGGAAGGACTAGAGCAGAAGGCTCTTTCAGAAGTCCCCTGGGGAGGATGCTGCAAGGATGTAGAGCTAGTTCCTGCCTCAATTCATCTATAGAATTAATTAATCCAGGCTGTTGGCTAAAGCAGCTGCTTCTGTAAAATGAGGACCAAAGGGGGAAAAAAAATCGTTAGACATCAACTAGTATTACAGAGTATCCATTTAATGAGGATAGACCCTCTTGTTCAACGTTGAAGAGACTGTGTGATGAGCCACGTGCTTCGAATTGTGTTTCTGCCACAGTGATTGATATGATTTATCCGTTTTGTCCTCTTTCGGGGTTCCTTTTGGGACTGACAGTAGACATCTGTCTTGGGTTAGGGATGTTATAGCTTGAACAAAGTTTTGTCACCCATCCTGCACATCCAAGCTTGTCCTCTCAAACACCATTAACACACAGTGGACGTACACAGGTGCACCCAGCACACACCATTACAGCGGTACCAACCGCCCCAAAACTGGAAAGCCCCCTGCTCTGCACTCAGTGTTCAGAAACCCACGGAGGGTCTACTGCGGAAACTCAACTCTTCCAGCTGCTACGGGACGAACACGCACACTGCAGGCTGCCAACACAACTCCCAAGAAGCCAGGCCGGCCAGCATTACCAGCCCCCCAGGCACAGAGATTGCTGTCAGGATGTGACCTAGAAGCAAAGCCCCACTCCGTTTTTACCCTAACCATCCCCCATTCAATACCACCTCCCCCTTCATCTCCCATGTCTCTCATCATTGACCCTTAATCTGACCCTGAAATGATCAGAACCCCCAGGAGGTTTTGGCTGTTTACAAAGATCAAGGGCTGAGCCCAACCAATGAGGAGTCCCACAAAGCAGTGGGGTGGGGGCGCTGTAGCTCCAGATGATTTGGATGCAACCTTCCTCAGACCACGCCGGGTCCCACTGCTCCCGAGGAGAGTACCACTCTATCAACTGTGACAGTGACACTGAATAAGACAAAATATTCCATAACCGGGACACTACAAAACACCCTTCCCCAACTCCTTCTTGCATGTGTTTAATTTCCTCAGTATGGAGAAATGACTCATTGGACCTTCTCCACAGGTAGGTAAGAATGAGCTTCAGTTTATCCTCATCCCGACCATCGAAGTCAAGCTAGTTTGATTCAAGATTAAAAGCAGGTGGAAGTACCTTGTTGATTTTCCCTATTATTTGGTTTTAAAACACAGGAAAAGACAATTTGCCTTAGCTGGATGATCCCTGACCCTGCCCCCATGTGAACGCTGACAGCCCTCTGCTGGGCCCTCTGTGAACCATTCACTCTCTGCCTTGTGCTATGTTTGTGTGTCTCGAAGGTGTAACTCCCCAGCTAGGCCATCAGCTCCCAAGGGCGTAATTCTTTCAATGGTTAGGTTGTAATCAGAGCGGGGCTTTGCTTCTAGATCAAATCCTGACAGAGATCTCTCTGACAGGGAGGCTGGTAATGCTGGCCGGCCCGGCTTCTTCACTCTGTTGGCAGTCTGCAGTTTGTTCACGTCTTATCGCTAACATTTCCCAACACACTGTCTGGCATACATATGGCACTCAATAAATACATGCTGAATAAAAGAAGGCAGGAGAAATGGATGGCTCCAGCTAGGTATCAATCAGTCACTCCTCGGGTATCCACTGAGCCCACTCCCAGATACAACGCTGATAAGGGGTGGGAATGTGGGGGCAGGGGGCGGGGGCAGGGGGCAGAACACAGACCAAGGGTTCACTTTGTTTCTACCTTTCCTGACTCTCTTCGGGAAGTTAGTTCATTCTTCCCAAGACTCTTGTGAGGCAGATTCCAGGGAAAGAGGCAGAAAAGGCCAAAGACAAAACAAAATATTACCTGGCCTAAAATGGCTGAAATGAGAGAGGTTTTTCCACTTCCCACACTGCCGCAGATTCCAACCAGTTTACCCTGGACAAAGCACACAGAGAAAGGAAGGTCATTAGGGCCATGGACCATTCGTCTCTAGGGGCTGCTGACTTCTTCGAGGAAAAACACAACGACAGCCCATCAGTAATAGGAAGACGATCATCCTGGTGACCCTGCAAGTTCACTTCCCTGTTTGCTCCCTGTCAGCCACCTACTTCAGAGGGCTTCTGCGGGCGTATGTGGGAGGTAACGGATGTGTGAGCCTTTTAGAAAACGTAAATAAGCCACACACATGAAGGTATCCCACGTTACTTTTAGAAAAGCCCAGCCTCTTTCTTACTTTTTTGGCAACCCATGTTTTGTGATTATTTGTTTATTTTTGTTGTTTTTGGAAATGAGGGCAGGACTCTTGGAAATTATTTTGTTGGTTTTCATTTCATTTTATATGATGTTTTCCTCTAGGGTCTATAAATTATTTTCAATAAAAACTATGTGCACTGTTTCCATTTTTCTACAAAACATTTCCAAGAATCTGAAGACTATTGATATCATCAATCCCACTTAAAAGGGGGGGTGGGGGTGGGGAGGAGGAAAGCCTGTGATTAACTGAATATCTCCAGGCAAAATAATGAGCTCTCAACAGGTGGTGTTCCGAGTTTTCAAGGACGGGCAGGTGATTTCAAAAGGGCCACTGTTTAGCAACCCTGCATTGGCTCAAATCCCTCAGTAAAGGGAGAGTTGGTGTGCAGAAGAGCATGGATTCTGGAGGCAGCCAGGTCGTGAATGCAACCTCAGCTCCACTAGCACCTGCCAACTGTGTGCTCGTGGTCTGGTTACTTCCACTGTCCGTCTCTCACTGGGCTTTGAGCAACTTGAGGTAAGGAGTGATCTTTGTAGAACCAAGTACAGTGTCTTAGACCAAGTATGTTGGATAAAGTTTCTGACATGGTTTCAGAGTTTGAAAGATTACAGCCTGATGGTAATGAGGAGACCAAGTCAAAGGTTCGATCTCTGCGCAAGTCAGTTAGGTTTACATAGAGAAAACTCTGTTCTCATGACTCCGTGGTGACTAACAGAGATACCAACAGTGGAATGCCCCGGGCACAGAGGATCTCAGGCAAACATTAACTTCCCTTCCCCGCCCTGAAGGGGAGAGGGGTGCACTGGAAGAATTAAGGTACCCCTCTCCAAATAGCTAAAGGTGTGTCATGTGAATGTGGGCTCTAAAGGGCTGGATGAGGATCAAAAGACAGAAAGCAGAAGAGTACATTTCAGCTGAATGAGGAATAATCCTCTAATAGGGCTGATGAGAAATGTAATGGAGCTGCCTCAATAATCAAGAAAATCACTATTAAATAAGAAGCCTGTGGTAGGGGCGCCTGGGTGGCTCAGTCGTTAAGCGTCTGCCTTCGGCTCAGGTCATGATCCCAGGGTCCTGGGATCGAGCCCCACATCGGGCTCCCTGCTCCGCGGGAAGCCTGTTTCTCCCTCTCCCACTCCCCCTGCTTGTGTTCCCTCTCTCGCTGTGTCTCTCTCTGTCAAATAAATAAAATCTTTAAAAAAAAAAAAAAAAGCCTGTGGTGAAGAGTTAACGGAAGTCAAAAACGGACGTGCGTGGTGGCCAGTGATGAACTACACTCGTGGTTTCAGGTGTGGTCACGAAGGACCATGTGCTCTTGGCGGCAGCTTTCAAGAGCTGGGAGCTTTTCTCTCTCCAGTTTGGCTCTGGATCCACGGAACATGCCTTAGTCAGCTGCTGATACTGATGTACGCCGCGTGATAACCCACTACCCCCAGCTCCAGTTATGCCGATACACATGGCTCATCACCCTCCTTGGTCCAAGATACGCTTCTCCGGGGTTAACTGCTCTCCTCCCTTGTTTGCCTCCATACTCTTCTGAATCCAGAAGCTAGGATGTTTCTCTTCATACAGAAGTCAGATCATATCATTCTTCTCCAAACCCTCCCAAGGCTTCTCTTCCCACTCGGAGTAAAGGCAAAGTGACCAGAGGAGGCTCGGCACCCCAGCCGCCTCTCTGCCCCCGGCGTCTGCCCTTCTCTCCCGTGCTCACTCTGCTGGGGAATACGTACACTGCGCACTCGGGGCCTCTGCGCTTCTGTTCCTTCTGCCTGGAATGTTCTTCCTCCAGATACCCATATGGCTCACGCCTTCGCCTCCTTCCAGCCTTTGCTCAGATACCACTTTTTAAATGAGGCTTTCCCTCAGGCAGCCTATTTAAATTGCAACCACACCTGCTCCGGCCCACCACTCCCTCTCATCCTCAGGGCCCTTATCACCATCTGACATACCATATACTCTACTCGTTTACTATCTGTCTTTGCCCACTAAAACCTACGCTACAGGAGCACAGAGGTTTTTGTCCGTTTGGTTTCCAGCGGCTACAGCCCAGCCCCACAACGAACGGTGCCTGGCATAAAGCTGGCACTCAGAAAACAGCCGACGACAGATGTACATATACATCTGTGCCCCTCTGAACGGTCACAGACTGTGTCTGCAAAGCCCTGAACTGGACTCTCTTCCAGCCACTCTGCCCAGGAGCCCCTCGGAGAGATTCTAGTCCTGTGCTATCCAGGCTGTGACATCACACATCATAACGATCCTTCGTTTATATGAAAAATCAACAATTACAGAATCAGTATGTTGTACACCTGAAACTAATAGAACACTGGCTATTATGCTGCAATAAAAATAGATAAATAAGTAGATAAATAATTACAAGAGATCTGTCAATAAGCGCAGCCCTGAGGGCTCTTATATGGACCAGGGTCTGTGCTCTGCACAGCCTACTGGTAACGAGAAGCTCGCCCAGAGTTATGGTAACCAGAAATAATTATTACAGCTCACATACAACTATAACAATTAGAATCTATTCAGGGCAAAGTCTTGGAAAATCCACCTGAACTCTTCATTTCCTTGCTTGTCAAATGAGCATCTCATGAGATCAGCTGGTATTAAGGTCTACTGGTAGATGCCTGAAGACTCCTTTGTGGAGCTGGAGTGGCTGGATTCGCTCGTTAGTTCCAACCAGCCCCAGCCACCAGTGTAAGGAAGGCGGCTGCCCACTCGTGCCGGAGAAGATGTCCGCAGACACCTGTGGACAGACGGGGTGCAGGTGGGGAGTGGGGAGGCACCGGGCTTACCTCCTCGACTTCCAAGTCGATGCTGTACAGTGTCCTCTGCAGGCGGAGGCTCCCCAGGTGGATGTGCTTGCCCTCGTCCTCCTCGGGACTGGGCCGCTCGTCACTGTCCAGGAGGAGGTGGCCCTTCTGCTCTGCCAGGACGGCCTGCTGCTCAGCGCGCTGCAGCGGTCTCACCTTCTCTTTCTTGCCCCTGGCAGCCCTCTTGTCTTTTTTCGTTTTGGGGGTCAGCTTGGGTGAGTTCTGGATACTGGAGTGGGAGGAGTCCCATGCCAAGGTGGCATTTTTCACCTCTATCTTGATGTGAGGGCTGGCTGGTTTTTTCTTTATCATGTGAACCTCTTCCATCAGAAACAAACTCTGATAGGAGTTGTGAGAGAGGTGCAAAGATGAGACACTGGACCAAGACCAGGGGGACAAGCCTAGGGCGCGCACTCACACGGCAAAACACATCAGGCTATACAGTGGAAGGAAGCTGAAGGGCAAAAGGTAGCTCATTAGTGTAGCCCAGCCTCAGGCCCAGCGAGAGGTCACGGGGGTGTGGGGACACCCTCAGGAGGGACAGGGGCCTTCTCAACGGCCCAACACTCTACACTGCCAATCATATCCTAACCTACCTTTTCCTTTCTGTCAGTCTAGTATGGCCAAAGTGCATTTAACTAACCCGTATGCAGCCCTTTGTTCTCACCCATGACTTGCTGAAGGGCAAGCAGTAAAATGCAAGCAGAAAAACCAAAGGGCATGCTGCTCTCCTAGATGGATCCCCATCACTGTGTTTCCCTTCCAGAACACTCCTGCGGAGCCGCAAAGCCTGTGCACTCCCCTCAGCAACCACATGGCACATGTGTGTGGGGAGAGGCGAGCCGAGATGGTGACCATGCTTAGCTTGCTTGGGTTTATCATCGGCAGAGTGCCTCTTCTTGCCAAGCTCTCATGTCTTCAAAGTTCTGCCTTGAAACTTGTGAGGATTCAAACAACCAAAGGAATGGACTTGGGAAGAAGTGAAGGGAATGTCTCTCAGAAATACACTTGGGAAGACAACAAGACTTTCCTCCCACTCATTCCCACAGTCCCTCTGAATTATGTTAGGGAAGAAAAGTGGAATGATTGAAAAGCTAAGTATTTCTGAAATGAGATTTGAAACACTGACCATAATAAACCTTATTATAAGTGCCCATGATCTTGAACCCACTTCTGACAACTCTCTTAAACTGCAGATCTCCACAGAATCCCAGCTGGATTCCCAATATGATAAAAAAAAAACACAACTTTTTTTTGAAATATTAGAAAGACTTAAGATCAAAGGTGCCTTTCAGAGTCAGGACTCTGCTTATTTACTGAGAACCCCCAACTGTTTTAAAGTTTGCCGGTGTTAGTAAATGTATCATATAATCTCCCACCCCTAGAGCAAGTCCTTGCTCCTAGATCCTAAACTCCAAGCTTTGATTGCCACATCTCCTATCAGTTCCTAAACTCCAATCTTTCCAGAAGTGTCGTGGTTCTAAATACCCCAATAACCATTACTCTTCATCAACCTTAGGTTTAAGTTTCCAAAAACAGCTGTTGGTTTCATTTGTTCAGAGCCTTCTGGATTGACTGAGCTAAGAGTAACATGCCAAATATTTTGACCACGTTCAGAGTAAAACCATACGCTGACAGAATTCCCATCATTTCTCTCCTCTAAGGAGTTATTAAAGGGATCTTTCAGGCCTCATGGACTATTAAAAAAATAAGCCAGTGCTCCAGTTTGCACAGCTCCTTCCCCATTTCCTTCCCATGGGCTCCCTGCAGCCTGTCCTCCTCTTGAGACATGCGGAGGCACACAAGGGACTCACAACACTTGAATTTATATCTACTTGGACTGGCACCTGCCAGGACAACAGAATCTTAGAGGTACATAAACCATAAACCTCAACTTTACCATAGGACACCAACTATCAAAACAGAACCCTCATGCACTCAGAGTACATCTGTTGAGCAGAAGAGGGGACAGAGGTTGCCAGATAAAATACAGAACATCTAGTTAGATTTTGATTCTAGATAAACAATGAATAATTTGGTAGTATAGGTATATCCCATGTGGTTATTAACTAACTGGGGGTCCTGTCTCTTTATTTGCTAAAACTGGCAACCCTCTACTGACAACAATCTCCGAAAAGTCACAAGGTGGCTTCTTACCCCTTTCTACCTGTTATCATCCTCCTAGCAGGTGGAGAAGGTAGGGGAAGGGGAGGGTGGGGGGAAGGAGGAGAGACAGGAGGGGCAGGAGGAGCCTGCCAAGAAGAATAAGACAGAATGGAACTGAAGTCTCAAGGGGCATATAATACAGCTGTGGGTGATTTTGCTTCTATTATTAACTCTGAAGTTCCCTGGATAGAGGAGGGAGCTGTGGTGTGAAAAGCCACCTGCAAATGCAAATCCCTACTGGTAAATGGAAGAAAAGAAAGCCCTTGAGAAACATAGGGTGAACAAACCTATATTATCAACTAACAATGACAGGAGGACAATCTTATGGTCAAAACATATGCTTTCTTCCATAACTAGGTATTGCAGACTCAGCAATATAAAGCTCTGATTACAATTAGACTATTTCTTTTTTATGGCTCTGGCTCTTCGCCTTCTAGCAGCCAGGCTGGAGGGAGGGAGGGCACAGAGCTGGGGATGCATTCCTGAGGACTGGCATTCTTGCCCAAACAAAATTCACCTTGTTAACTGTAAACAAGTAGAATATAAATAAATCTTGGAAAGCTCTTCTCCATTCTTCATATTCTCCATTCGTCTCAATTTGTTCCCCCCAAACCTTCAAGCAACCAGCATCGTTTTTTCATTGTTCTGCACTAGACAAGAAGGCTTGGCAGGAATGTAGAAGCTACTCCCTGCAGGGGCATTGTCAAGGAATTCCAGCCCACACAGGTGCTGCTTCTTCCCCTCACCCTCCTGAATCTATCGACCTCTTGTATCATCTATTTGTATTACTCTGAAGGCATAAAGAAGACAGTTAAAGCATGATCAACTAACCACCTCCAGAAAAAACCTGATATTTCCTTAGCTGCACTTTGCAACATGATCTCATTGTACAACTATTCCCATGTCACTGCATTCCCTGCATCAGGAGTGGTGACTACAGGGCAGGAAAAAGAAAGTATGGAAAAGGGCGTAGCATATCGACCAATCAAAATGACAAGAGCATTTTGGTAGAGGTCGATGTAACGGTAGATCAAGGTGAGGAAAAGCTGACAGTCACCTAACAGTTCGGATCTTCCGGTTTGAATCACCGAAAGAGGCCCAGGAGTTTTTTAGGACATACACCCAAGTCAGGCCAAGGAAGAAGGGCCTCGCTCTGAAGGAGAACAAAATCCTGGGAGCCCAGAACTAGATGGGCTGTCAACAAAAAGTAGAATTTCGCATTCACTTGAAAAGGTAACTATTCCCATCCCTTAATTCACTCTCCTCTACTGCCCCCTTTCTTACCAGCTGGACAAAAAGCTAGAGGTGAACAAAAGCCTTGTGTGGCCCATTGGAATAAAGGCAGCTGTGGCTTTGCCAGGACGGCTCCTGACATAGAGGAAGAGAAGGGAGCCTCTCACCTTAAATCTGTCAACGGCAACCGATGCTTCCGAGAGGGATTTTACGGAGAATGGGGTTACTTTCAAAGCAAAAGTCATGGAATTGAAGACAGTCACCACTGTGAAAGCCTGGAAATAGGAAAAGAAAAGAAACTGAGCTTGATGAGAATCTGCAACAAAAATAACAAGACATCGATTTAAGGAAGGCAGCAACCTGACTGTCAAATTGGTATGAGTCACGTATGCTTTTTTTTTTAAGATTCATTTATTTATTGGAGAGAGCGAGCATGTGCATGTGAGTGGGGGGGGAGGGGCTGAAAAGGAGGGAGACAGAATCCCAAGCAGACGTCCCCCTGGGCATGGAGCCCAACATAGGGCTTGATCTCACGACCCTGAGATCATGACCTGAGCCGAAATCAAGAGTCGGATGCTTAACCGACTGAGCCACCCAGGTGCCCCATGTATGCTTTTTTTTAAAGGTAGAGTTTTCATGAGACCTGCAATTAAAATTCTCAGTAAATCTGAACCAAAGGATGATCTGTATTTTCAGAATTAAATCCAAAGTTGGGCTGATTTAAAACAATCCACATGTTATCCGTGCTTAGGGCTGAATCGCCACTCTTCCTGGCTTAATCACATGAAAGAAAAAATACCTTCTGATTACTGGGGGCACCTCAAAATCCAGAAACAAGAGCACCAGAACATCTCTATATGTGGTATTTCTAAAATCTCCCCAAGCCCTGAGGGTTCACTGACCTGGGCCGAGGTGAGATCAAAGCCAAGGGTCATGTGAACAGAGAAGGTCACCACACTGGCAATCACCATCACAATGGGAGCCACTCCAACAGTGATGCTCTGAAAGTACCCAGCTTTTTCCAAGATCCGACGTTCCTCCTCTCGGATTTCTAAGAATAAAAAGCAAGCCAACTGATGAAAAGCAAGCCAATTTTAAAGCAAGTCAAAAGAAACCGTGGGATATTGGCCCTCTGTCACCAAAGAAGACTTGGTAGGTCTTCAGCCACATAGGTTTTAAAACAACTCCTTAACACCCATGATGCAAAACCTAGGTCAACATGACTAAGAGTTATCACTATTAATGCTGGTACATAAGCCTGAGGTTTGAAATGGAATCAAGTCACAGAATGAATCTAACAGAAAGCAGTCCCTACATATCAGTGCAATGAACATCTTCTGCCTTCAGTCTGGTTTTTCTTGCAAACATCTTACATCTAGAAGGGATGAACACAGTAATTGTATCTGCAAATGGCAGTTTTGTTTGCCTACCTGGTTGTTGTTTATTTCCAGCAAACAACAGGGAAGACTACACCACGGTAATGGAGAATTTAAAAAGAACGCAGATTTATTACAGTGCCTACCGTATGTCAGTGCTGGGTAGAGGCTTTCACACAAAAAGCAGTGAGATGATTGACAGAAGATGAGTGAAATACAATTTTTGTAGGCAGAATGATTTTTCTTAAATATTTGCAAAACAGAGACCCTTATTAACAGTGCAACCCTAGAGTACTAAAGACCATGGAGTAGGAGGTATGACAATAAAGTGGCAAGTTTTGTGTATGTGTATGTGTGTGTGTTTTTAAAAGTTTTTAAACATAAAAGCAATTCTTCTGAGAAGCTTTGTACTGACCTTAGAGTATTACCACTGCTCAAGACATTGGGAACTATCTTCAGAGCTAGCTCATATGTCATATTTTAAAAAATCTAACCCATTGCTTTCACATTTACCATATACCTTGCCTAAGTCCATAATGAGAAAGAACACTCTTCAAACCAATATACAGAGGTAAAGATACCAAAGTCAGGGGCTGAAGGATGAGTGGCCTCTCAGAAAGAAAATTATAAAACCACAGAATGAGAGAGGCAGAAAGGACCATCAGCAGTCACCCTGCTTGCAACATGCTTGGCAGATACCCAATTAGCATCCATCGGTTCCATTCCACTGGCAATGAAAGTTGCCTAACCCACTGCTGGACACCTCTGAGTGGCCACCTCCTCCTGATGACCACTGATAAATAAAGTTTATGAACTGGACACAATGTTCCTGAAGGTTTAATTGATAAATCAGACAGTTAAAATAAAACAGCTTCCTTGATCTGAACACTGGATTTCTATTCAACCTAAAACTGCATTAACTTTTGTAACTGCAATGTATTCAAGTTAGCTCACTGTGAGGTGATGGTCAATGAACAGCCCACATCTTTTATGAAGTAAGTTTAAATGGAAACATGCCTTCTTTTTTCAACTCTAAAGTGCCTTTAAATGTACCCTTCTGAAATGCCACCTTTTTTTAAGGCCCATTTTTCCAACTTCTGTTGAGACCTTTTTGAATGTCCAGTCTAATGCCAATGATTCCTCTAAGCGTTGTGGCATTCACATATTAGACATGTTTATGTGTGCATTGAATTTACTGATCAGGAGAAGCAGGATAGGACCAGGATGGGGCCTTGTGACTCAACATAAGTCAATTGTTTGAAAAGATAAGAATAAAACAACAAACCAAAAACCCCGATGACCGAGTAGCTGAGGCAGGCCCAGAGTCCAGCTGTCCTGACCCCCAGCGCGGCCCTTCTCCCCCTCCCCCAGGATCTTACACCTCACACATCTCACACCTGCGATGCACACGCGCCTTTGGCAGGTAGGGAAGGGGGGAGCTCTCAGAAGACAACTTGATAATGTTTTCTGTGATGTCTTCATAGACAGGCCACAAAATTACAGGTAGGATGACAGTATAGATAGGGGGGTTTGCAACTGAATGAACTGCTTATAACTAGCTTAGTTATCTTGGGGGAAAAAAAAATCACAATTTTCTGGTCTTAATTTCCTCCTATGCGAGATAAGATTATGAGTTCAAGTCTCTAAAATCCCTTTCAGTATAAAGATCATAAGATATTATAAGAATATATTATGATCCTATGACATTAGGGTTCCTAGCAGCTAATGTGCTCAGGAAGCAAGGACCTTATGCCACATGCACATATGAAATCTGTAAACTCACTTTGAACAATTTGAGAAAATGCTTTGACCCAGGCATACATTTTAATAAATTTAATGTAAGTGAGGACTTCATTCATCTTCTGGACACGTTCATCTGTGGTGGTCACACATTTTCTCCTGAAATATGCAGTGATCCGTGATACAAACATCTGAAAGGAAAAGCGATGTCATGCCAAGTCAGGGCTTATTCAAATTTAAGAACTGTCTAGTCTTTCTGGGAAATAAATCTGTTTAAGATTATTATAAATAAAATGAGCATCATGTAGTTGCACTGCCTTTTAATAAAAGTGGTCTTTTAAATTATAATAAAATATTATTTAATTCTTATCCTTTTGTAAGGAAGTTAAGACAAGTAAAGTATTTGTTCTCATTGTGGTTACTGAGTGCTACCAAAGGGAAGCAGCAGAGTCCTATCAGTTAGCAGCAAATTGAGACGAAGGGACTCAGACACTACCGTGTTCTTAAGGGCAGAGTTCAGCTGCTGGCCTCCTCCTTCACTCAGACTCTCTTTTTAAAATCTCCTTAAGAGTCATGGCCTTTATTCACAGGACATCTTACTTCCTCTCAAGACAAAATTCTGCCTAGGGACTGAACACTGCCTAGCTCTTTCCAGACTTTTCCAAACCAGGTACCTGCTCTGAGGAAATTTCCAATCAGAGATGTGACACCTCAGCGACGCCTACTATATACAACCTAGTGGAGAAGTTTAAGGAGAAGCTGCTACGATACAGCAAGGAGGCTTACTCACCATTGCTGGATAAAAGAGGATAAAAACAGCTGATCCTAGGAAGCCTGTTGGTCCTAGAATAATTACGTTATAAATCATGCCTAAGATGGCAACAATGGGTCCTCCAGCCAACAAGCTGCCCACAGCGGCTGCTTCGAACATCCTCTGCCCGTCGTTGGAGCACAGGTTGATGAGCTACGAGACACAAAGAGCAATGAGAGGACCCCGCAAGGACCCCAGTCACTTGTCTCAGGAGGAAGATCCTCCTGAGATCCAAAGCAGAGATCCAAATGAAAGAAAGAGCTCAAGCCGGGAGCTTTCTCTCTGCCCTGAAGCAAACACCCCTCACTCACCTCACCCACAGACTTCTCTTTAATGTTCTTTAGCTTAAGGATCTTCTTAAATGCCATGGTTAGGATGGCCCCCCGCAGGCGGACACCAGTTCGGTAATTCAATGCCCAAGTCAGCGCGAGTGACCACGAGCGCACGACTTCCGTCAGGAGGAGGCCCAGGACTAACAGCAAGCTGTACTTGAGGTTAGAATCTGTGACCTGGGTGTATTCCAAGAGGTGTTTCACCACGAAGGCCTACAGGGAGAAACACACACCACTGTCAACATCTCCACGGCACCCACACACCATGCCGCAGTTTTATGTTAAGTTAGAAAGAGGAAGCAGCTCCACTGTGACAGCGCTACATACAGAAGCAGAGGAAGACCTTGAAGGACCAAATACGACTGACGACTCGGCCGCGGATATTTACTCGAGGCGTTTCGCGGGAGGTCGGCCTCATCTGGGTTGTTTTCTTCCTTAAGGACACCACCAAAACCGTTCCTCTTTCTAATGTAACATAAACCTGTCCATAAGCTGAAATTAATTCTAAACACACGGTCATTAAAAAGTATATATTTGACCTTACTCCAGTCTCTCCACACATTGATACATGTCTTTAAATGAAATTAAGACCCTTTTTTTTTTTTTTTTTGGATCGTTTCAAACGTGCTTATTTGATAAAAAGGAACAGTGTACCTACAGTTGGACTGGGGAAGAGTGAGAAGTGCATTTGCAAAACATTCCTGAAAATAAACATCGGCAGTTTAATAGTACAGAAGAGAGCAAACAAAGCAGACTATTCCAAAATCCAGAAACCCTCCCGTGGGCCCTCCCCACTCCCCACTCCCTCCCAAAAACGAAAACGTGTTACCTCAGGTAGCATATGTCTACCACCACCCGCGGGGAGGGAAGGCAGCCAGCCCCCAAGAACCACCGAGCGCCACCTCCAGCTCTGAGGTCCTGCAACGCCGGAGCACACACTCACACAAGGCACATTCAGCGACAGGATTCAACACCAGCAAGTGGGAGGTAATGTACTTTTATTGAAAATGAAACAAAATAGAAAATAAAAGTACCATCTTCAAAGAGTATCTCACAGACTGTACAACAGAAGGAGCATTGCGGTAACATACATGGGAACATACAGAGTCGAGTTTTTACAAGGCTGGCCATCTAACACGTCATCTGGCCTCCGACCGTTGTTTTCGCTACACACAGTGGAAATACAGAATAGAACCCATAGCTGTTGCCAGAGTCCGGAGTAGTACATCGAGCTGACGGCACTTAATCGATTAAGGCTCCTGAAGTTGCAGTGAGTCTGCAATGGGGTAGATTCTCCGAGAATAAGACCTTGCTGCTAAGGAAAGAGAATTAAAAAAAAAAAACAAAACTAAACTAAAAACTCCCCCCAAAGAGGGAACTCTGCTTAAAAAAATAAAAAAATAAAAAAATCCCTGGGTGCTACTGGTTCAGCAGGCTGTGACGGAGGACTTCTGTTCAGGACAGAATACAAAAATCTAGGCCTCAAGGAAAAATGGGGCGGCATCCTTCAGAGTCTTTTTTTCAAGTCCTTGCAGCTAAAATTGATCTTGCCGAAAATGAGAGAAAACAAACCATAACAAAAGAAAGCCAAACCGATCCCCTACCCTGAAGGAAGGGGAAAAAAAAAAAAAAAAAAAGAACGAGAAACCCCATCCACCCAACTACCCCGGATCCTTATAGCACAGGGTACTTGTAGGTGGAAGCCAGCTCTGAACGACAGACAAAAATGGAGGCCAGACACAATTATCCTGAGGCGGCTAATGCTGAATTCCAGAACCCAGATGCTCTCTGGGTTAACTGGCATTTCTCATTTTTCCTGGAAGGAAATTAATACCAGATGTCCGCCAGATCCTAAGAGATCCCCACCAATCAGATTTCTGTCAAGCGTCAGTAAATAACCTGATCAAATAAATAGGAGATTTCAGATCCCGAGAACTATTGTATTCCACGTCTCCCCTCCCTCGGATTTTTAGGTTTATATCCATTGTTTGGGTCACCACTGCATACAGCTGGGTTGTTGGTTTACTAGCAAGAAGATTGGCTTCTTTTCCAGTATGCAATCCAAAATGTGGAACTGAGTCACTGAGTGGCAGGGTCAAAACCCCATTTTTCCTCACGTGAAGCAACTCAGTAAGATGGCGGTGCCGTAAAGCATTTTTCTCACACGCCTCAGCACTGATGGAACAGTCTCCAGAGGAAGGCGTGAAAGGACAGCAGGTTGTAGTTTGGGGTTCCTTCCTTCCCATACCTTTACAGTGCCATTTTTCAGCACCGGGTAAGAGCATTAGTACCTCCCGGAGGTGGGGAGCCGGGGGAAGGTAAAAGACATAATGAAGCTTACATTATGTAAAATTTTCGGAGGGGGGGGAAAAGAGGAAACAGCAGATTAAAGAATTTCCAACACATAGGGTTCTTTAAAAAAACAATTACATTTCAAGCCATTTTGTATGTATGGGATAAAGAAAAAAAGGTTTTCATGAAAAAAATCCAACCCAAATTTAGTTTTAAAAAAGTTACAAACTTATCATTTAAACGTAAACAAACTGGGAGAAAAACTCGAGAGATTGTCAGCATAGCTGTCTGGCTGTGGAAAGCATTCCCAGTGAATAAACATTACCTTACCTGAACTCTTGGCGAGAGATTCTGCCCAGCTTGACTCTCTCATTCTGACCGCAGAATACAGCCATCCTGAAAATTCTAAAGAACAGCTTCTGTCACTGGTTCCACTACAGAGAGACTCCCCCCAAATCCAGATCCTGACAGCATCAAGCAAGCTGCAGCTGGGGGGAGGCTGGGAGGGTGGGAAACTTACCTCTCTAGAGGCTATTCACTGCCCTTTCCCCCAAAAGGCCCCTGAGCAGAGTTAGCATTCACCAAGATACAGCACTGCAGGAGGTAGCCTTCTCTTGCAGATCTACAGGGTGGATGCTAATTCTTTACACAGAAATCATAGGTCAGGCCTGGTCTTTTTAAACTGTTCGTATCCAAGAAGGCCACATATCGTCTCTAACTTTAGCAAGTCTGGCCACTCATCTTAGGTCAGGACCATACCCTTAAGCTTTCTGGTACTCCATTAACACTATTGTGACCTCTGGACACTCTGCACAGAGCTCTGGTCCACTGGCATCACTGAAACCTTGGATCGTCCGGCCAGTTAAAAAAACATACCTACACACGAACTTGGTCGTTTATTCGTATATTCTGCATATGGCTACCAAGGTTCAGCGATGCCTGAGGGGAGAAAAGAAATATCCCCCTATCTGGGGAGTCGGTTCTTACACAGATTTCTGTAAGAACAGACTAAGCCAGTTTGAAAGTTGTGCCATATTAGAAAATGTGCAAAAATCTAAAATGGGTGTTCCTTGAAAGGATTTAAATCCACAGAACAGAAGGTATGCTCATTGCTAGCACTAATCTCAAAACCAGGCTGATTCTTCAATTTCCAATTTAAAAAGAAATTTATTTGAATTGGTACTCCAAAAAAAGAAGTTTGCTTGTAGTTTTAAATCTTTTTATCATTTAGAGAGACTATGGATGGGACCATTGCTTTCTCAATTGTTCTAGGATGGGATCTTATGAAATAACACAGGCCTTAAGTTGCTCTTATGCAAGAGGGTAGAGAGAAGGAAAAGTGTGCATGCTGTTTTCCTGTTAAAGGAAGGTTCTCGGTGTTCCCTGGTACCTAGAAGATTTTACTAGAGTTAGCATTCCAGTATGCCGTACCTTAAGAGAGAGATAAAAGAATATGCAGATGCTCAAGGGAGTGACTGTAGGCCCCCAAACTGAACATGCATAGGTAGCTTTTTTTCCCAAATAAAAAATTAAAATCTCAACAATCTATGGTATTTCTTCCCCCCCCACCTTTTTTTTTGTTTGTTTTGTTTTTTGTTGGTTTTTCTTTTTCTTTTTTTTGGATGGGGGGAGCCAATCAACTTCTTGCACTGGCCAAATGGAATCAAGAAAGCCTATATACTGTGCTACCCAGCTCAAAGAATTCTACAGAAGATCCAGAGCAGCCACCAGCCCTGTAGTGAAACAATGACAGAAGCTCTTCTTGGGGGAAGCTGGTCCTATGAAAATGTTTGCCATTTTGGTCAGTAACATAATATTCACTTACATGGTCTCTCTTACTTAAAACTTATACAAAAGTGTGTTAGTTGCTCAATTAATATAGAAACCTAATACCAGAAAAGTAGTGTTCTCTGCTTCAGAAAAGAGATCAGAACTTTTAAAAAGGCATCAAACATTTAAAAACAAACAAACAAACAAACAGACAACAACAACAGAAATAAAACAGAAAAACTGCAAATTAGTTTTACCTAATCACCATGCATCTTAGGCACATACTTACCAGAACCATGAACCTCCAGCTTACCCACACACGGAAAACGCACAGTATAAGGAGAACTACTGCTCCGATGCCTCAAGGCAAATATGCAGAGAATAGATTTAATCAAAGTCTCAAGTGTCAGGCAGCACAGCAGGTGTAAGAAACAGGTGTCCAGGAAACAGTGTGAACGTCACTCTCTCACCTACTCTGCTTCAGCACGCACTAGGAAAAACCACGGCTGCCACCCCGACACCTGCCACACGATTTACACTATAAACCAACACTTAAAGTAGACTCCAGGTTGGACTCTAAAAAAAAGCCTCAAGGCTCCTCGGGCTTCTTCAGGCTCCCTGGCCGTGGAACCGCCAAACACGTGACAGCTCTGCCCCCAGGCGTGCGGTGCGTCACCAGCACGAGCCCAGCCGCCTACGCCACACCACACTGCTCTCGCCCACTCTCAGCACCGCCAGACACCTCGCCCCAAACCAAGACTGTCATTTCATGGCAACACGCAACAAAGAAGCACCATCCTGCGCAGAGCCGGAATCGTTCGTGTCTTCACCCGCCCCAGGAGAGCGAGCCGCTTCCGGCTCTTCTCTGGCAACACGGCCCCTCATCCTTCCGGCTGTGGACCAGCCACCATTCACTCCAAAATCAACCGTTCCCTTTCAACAGACCTAGAGGCATCACTAAGGCTGCTAACTAGCCCACCGGTGAGCACAACCCCTGCAACAGAACAAGAGTGTTAGAGCTGGCCGTGGCCGGGCCCCTGGAGACTGTCAGAAAGGATGGTTAGAACTTACTGGTCCACTGAAGCCAGCCAGCTGCGTGATCATCAGGCACACGATGGAGAGGATGAGCCTGGTGCGGCAGAAGATCCACACAACCCTTCGGAGGGAAGCAGCGTCTGGCCCAACTTCGTTCAGCTCTTCTTGCCACAGTCTCTCTAGTCTTAACAAGGGCACATGTCCTCCGTTACACGTCTGCCCAGGTGAACAGAGACCCTAGATTCCCTCCTGCCATTGCTTTCTGTCTCCAGGCTTTGACACCACTCACACGAGCCTCTTCTTTAAACTATGTACATGGACCTCACCTTCAGGGAAAAACACACCCTTTCTGGGCAACTACATATTTACCCTGTATAGGGAGGGAGCCTCTCGGGATATGGAAAATGATGAGAACCGAAGTCCTTCCTTCCCACCCAGAAAAATTATCCCTGAATAGAATTCGTTTCTGGCTAAGAACTTCCTTTCTCAAGGGCCCCCAACCCTTTCTGAAGGATCCTGTGGTCAAATGTAAAGTTGCAAACTAGATTTTAGTCATGATAATCAGCTACCACAAAAATGTATTCTGTCACAAGGCAGCAACATAATTTCCCTGTAGACTCAGGAAGAGAAGCAGGGCTGAGAGAGAGAGAGAAAGCCCGTGGTTAAAACAGGATTAAAGGTGAAATAGGAGATAAAGCAGAAGAGCAAAGAGAAAGTCATCCCCAGGCTACCTCCCTCCGCAGGACAGCTCAGATCCTAAAAGAACACAGAGCTGAGGGCATCACACTGCCGGACCCCCCCTCCTAGCTCAGGCCCTATGCACCCACTATATGGGAGACAAGGGCGGACCAGAGAAGCCTACCTTCTGCAGTTCACATCGGAAGACTCGTACTTGGACAAAGACCACACGTCCTCCATTGAGAGCTCCCCCTTCCTGTGGGCCATGCGGGCCAGAGGAGAAAGCCAAGAAAAAGTCATGCAGGAGAAGAGCCCAGCATTGTCCACTGGGTGCTGGTGTCTAAGGAGAGAAAACCCAAAACACAAAATTGTCAATGCATACAGAGAGGCTAGCCAGCATTTATGAGACACTGTTTCGTAAACAGAGCTCCTGACTAACAACGGGTCTTCCCAAATGGTCTAATCTTAGCCCGAATTTAGCCCGAATTTTCAAAAACGCTTTTGGTGCTTCACAGACAAGTCATTAGCTGGTAGAGCCTCTTACTTGGAAGTGGTCCGGATGGGCTTCAGAGCACTTAAGCTATGATGGTACTTTCCCTTGGGATGTTCCTCATCCAGGATTCTGATCTGAGAATGCATGGAGGCATCCAGGGAAAGGCCCTCAGCTCGGGCTGCTGTTTCCAAGGCATCTTGGCATTCCAACTGTTTCAATAGAGACAGAGAAGAGGCAAAAGCACAGTTAATGAACATCAGAAAAACAGAGGGGCAAATCTACCTGACGTAACAGCTCAAACTGCAAACCAGATTGGTCTTACCTGAGAAATCCCAAGGGTCAGGGTTAAACACGAACTTGTATGCTAAGAACTTGCTTAAGGAACATTCAACCAGTTACTTAAAACTTCTCAACTCTTGAGCACTTTTAGGTTCAGAAAAACTGAACAAAAAGCACAGAGAGTTCCCGTATACCTCCTCATCTCCCTGTCTCTTCCCCATCTGTTTCCCCCATTAGCGACATCTTGCATTAGGGTGGGACGTTTGTTACAACTGATGAACCAATATTGATATGTTACATTACATAAAATACACAGTTCACTCTTTGTGTTGTACATTCGAAAACTTACGTTTCTATCACCAAAATGTTCTCTCTTTCATTTCCCAATGTGGACTGAGAATCAATCAATGTACTACTAACTGCAAATTCTCCTGTCCATTTGCTATGACAAAAACTTCACAATCACCCCCAATTAAACAGCTCTGTCACACAGAAAAGCCAGTATGTACACAAGTCTCCCCTCTCTCTCCTTTATCAGCAACAGGGACAGCACAACAGGGGTTCTCACCCTGTGCACAGCTAAAGAGCTCCAATACGCAGATGTATGCAGCATGAAGCACAAGGTCTCATGAGTTGAAATAGAATTAACCATATTTACCACTAAGCTTATAAATTCCAATTAATCACATTAACAAAAAGGCATATCACTCAAAGTCTAACTGAGGCAGAAGAGGATGAGCCAAGAATCTGAACACCTCTACCCTTGTTTACCCTAAAAGTAACTCAAAGTTTACCCCCCTCCTGTTGTGGAAACAGAGGCATTGTTTTCCTCAGACAAGGATAATAAGTACGTCATCCTTTTCTCACATTATCACAAAGATTTCCAGCAATGACTGTGAAAGAGCAAGAAAGAATAGATCCCCAAATCAAGAAAAAGTTAAGTGGTGCAGCACCTACCACACTGTGTCTTACACAAGGCAGAGTCTCGGTTTTTATGCACCACCTCATTTCCAAGAGAACAGTGGCCACTCAAATATTAGCAGAAATGAATTCGTATATGGAGGTACCTGGATGTCTAGGCAGCTCTCTCCTCAAATACAATAGCTTTAGTTCACAACACAGTTATGCATCTTCAGATAAGATAAGGTACTGCTTAATATCAGGAAAGTACACAGCCTTGGCAACTGGGAAACACGTTTTTGTCCTTTTGACAAAGGCAAGGTAGAGCAGTTTCAAGAGAATAAGAACACAACATGACAAATGAGTCAATACCAAGAATTAACTCTTACATAAAGTCCTTAGGTATAAGGTGAACACTTATTTCCTGGTTAGGGACTGTGGTACCTAACAATGAACTAAACGCTGCTGAGAGTCAAGTACACAACAAAGGTAGGCTTTTTGTTTTTGTTTGGTTTTTGAACCTATAAGCTGCCTATAACCACAAGGAGAAGAAAACCAATGGGCTAAGAAAGGAGAAAGATACACTAAAAATACAAACATACCTACTATAAGGAAGTAGAAACTGGGACTATGGACAGAGTAGGTACAGAATGTTGTAAGGACCAGCCTTATTTAGATATCCAAAGCTTCAGAAGAAGACAAAAATCAAAATAATACCACTTCAAATACACATTGGATATCTGCCAAAATGGACTATATGCTGGGCCTTAAGGCAAACCTTAAAGCAAAGAATGACATCACATGGTTAGGTCTTGTCATTTTGATTTGTACTACCCTAATGGTTAATGATGTGGAACATCTTTTCCTGTGCTTATCTGCCACCTGTATTTCTTTTTTGGTGAAGTATCTGTTCATTTTTTGCCCATTGTCTAAGTGGATTGTTTTCTTAGTGTTGAGTTTAGAGAATTTTTTATCTACTATGGGCTCAGGTCTTTTGTCAGATGATTCAAATATATTTTCTCTCTTAATAGGGCCATTTACAGAGCACAAGTTTTAAATTTTGATCAAGCTTAATTTGTTGATTTTTTTGTTTTACGGATTGTGCTTTTTAATGTCATGTCTACAAGCTCTTCATTTAACCCTAGGTCATGAATATTTTTCTCCTATGCTTTCTTCTAAAAATTTTACAGTTTCTACATTTAAATCCATCTTTCACCTTGAGTTAATTTTTGTATAAAGTGTAAGACTTAGATGAAGAATTTTTTTTTTTTTGCCTATAAGTGTCCAATTATTCCAGCATCATATGTAGAAGACTATCATCTCTTCCTTAAATTGCTTTTGTACCTATGTAAAAATCAGTTGGCCATACTTGTGTGGTTTGATTTCTGGGCTCTATGCCATTGACCTATTTGTCTATTCCTCCACTGATACCACTAACTTGATTACTGTAGCTATACATTAAGTCTTAAAATAGGGTCATGTGATATCTCTAACTTTATTCTTCCTTTTCATAACTGGTTTAGCTATCCTAGTTCTTTTGCCTAGGAGAACCAAGTTCAAGAGTTAAGAGAGTTATAAAATCTTTTGACATTGCAGCATCAGAAAAGGAAAACTTGGCATGCCATCTCTTAATATTCTCACACAAGAATGGCCTAGTAGCATTAAGAATAAACAAAAATCTTCACACCTTCTTTTATGCATTCTTTCAAGAAATGGCTTACTGAGCACCTACGTGCAAGACTGTTCCAGATGGGAATAAGAATATGCCAATTGCTACATGTATAGTACACTAATTTTTGTTCATCTCTAAAATGCCAACTTACAGCTTTCAACAAAACCTATGAACAGAAAAGCGAATGGACTTAACAAAATCCTCCTATTGCATGAGTTCTGTTCCTTTGGATATATATAATGATGTCATGTTCCATCATCTCCTGGGTCATAAGTGACTTCCTGTGTTGGAGAATGCCAAATTCAGATGTTCTTTAAAAAGACTCAGGTGTTGGGGCGCCTGGATGGCTCAGTTGGTTAAGCGACTGCCTTCGGCTCAGGTCATGATCCTGGAGTCCTGGGATTGAGTCCTGCATCGGGCTCCCTGCTCAGCAGGGAGTCTGCTTCTCCCTCTGACCCTCCCCACTCTCATGTGCTCTCTCTCATTCTCTCTCTCTCAAATAAATAAATAAAATCTTAAAAAAAAAAAAAAAGACTCAGGTGATGGGGTGCCTGGGTGGCTCAGTTGGTTAGGTGTCCGACTCTTGGTTTTGGCTTGGATCATGATCTCGTGAGATCAAGGCCCATGTCGGGCTCCGCACAGAGCATGGAGCTGCTCAAGATTCTCTCCCTCTTCCTCTGCCCCTCCTCCCTCCCTCCTCCTTTCCCCCACCAAATAATAAAAATAAAAATAAAAAGACGCAGATGAGAGTTGGCAGGCAAGGTTTCATTACCCCAGACATACCATGAGTACTATACCAGCATTACCAAATGCCTGCAACATAACAGAGACTGAGGGCACTTGTACTACTTTTAATTTTAGAACAAGGCACTCAGTATAATTTTATCCTGACAAAGACAAAGCCCCATAAAAGTGGTTGAAATTGCACAATCCTCAAATTTTCACAAAATAATAAAACATGGAGTAGGAATTCCCACAATAGAGATACAAAGAAG